AACTGGATGCACCCAAGCTCAATTTCGAGTCTCATAGCAAAGGGTCTGAATACTTATGTAAATAAGGTATTTCAGGTTTTAATAAATGTGCAAATATTTCTAAAAACCTGTTTTCGCTTCGTCATTATGGGGTATTGTGTGTAGATTACTGAGTAAAAAAAGGTATTTAATCAATTTTAGAATAAGACTGTAACGTAACAAAATGTGGAGAAAGGGAAGAATACTTTCCGAATGCACTGTAGATATATCTAGCTTAAACTGACACATTTTGATGGGGTTTTTAATATGAATATCAAACAAACAAAAACAGAGTGAGCAACTGAAATTCCACAAGTGCAAAGAATACAGGCCTATTTATGAGCATCTGTATTTTTTACACAACTAATAAACTGTGTGTGTGTGTGTGTGTGTGTGTGTGTGTGTGTGTGTGTGTGTGTGTGTGTGTGTGTGTGTGTGTGTGTGTGTGCGCGTGCAGACTGGTAGTGATAGCTGAGGGCAATTATCAGCCAGTGGTCCTCTCCTTCCCTCCCATCTATCTATCTCTCCTCATCCCTCCCTGCCTATTACTCTCTCTCCCTCCCCCTACTCTCCCTCTTTCCTTCCTTTTTCTCTCTCCAGTGTGTGTGAGAGAGAGTGAGACGAGAGACAGGCACCAAGCAACGTTTCTCCTAAATACAGTATAAACCATCAATTTAGTGAATACCATTAAGGTCAGTCAATACGGAACATTTCAAGAACTTTGAACGTTTTTTCGAGTGCAGTCGCAAAAACCATCAAGCGCTATGATGAAACTGGCTCTCATGAGGACCGCCACAGGAACGGAAGACCCAGAGTTACCTCTGCTGCAGAGGGTAAGTTCGTTAGAGTTACCAGCCTCAGATTTTGCAGCCCAAATAAATGCTTCACAGAGTTCAAGTAACAGACACATCTCAACATCAACTGTTCAGAGGGGACTGTGTGAATCAGGCCTTCATGGTCGAATTGCTGCAAAGAAACCACTACTAAAGGACACCAATAAAAATAAGAGACCTGCTTGGGCCAAGAAACACGAGCAATGGACATTAGACCGGTGGAAATGTGTCCTTTGGTCTGGAGTCCAAATTGGAGATTTTTGGTTCAAACCGCCGTGTCTTTGTGAGACGCCGTGTGGGTGTGGGTGAACGGATGATCTCCGCATGTGTAGCTCCCACCGTAAAACATGGAGGTGGTGTTATGGTGTGGGGGTGCTTTGCTGATGACACTGTCTGTGATTTATTTAGAATTCAACGCACACTTAACCAGCATGGCTACCACAGCATTCTGCAGCGATACGCCATCCCATCTGGTTTGGGCTTAGTGGGACTATCATTTGTTTTTCAACAGGACAATGACCCAACACACCTCCAGGCTGTGTAAGGGCTATTTTACCAAGAAGTGATGGAGTGCTGCATCAGATGACCTGGCCTCCACAATCCCCCGACCTCAACCCAATTGAGATGGTTTGGGATGAGTCGGACGGCAGAGTGAAGGAAAAGCAGCCAACAAGTGCTCAGCATATGTGGGAACTCCTTCAAGACTGTTGGAAAAGCATTCCAGGTGAAGCTGGTTGAGAGAATGCCAAGAGTGTGCAAAGCTGTCATCAAGGCAAAGGGTGGCTATTTGAAGACTCTCAAATATAAAATATATTTAGATTTGTTTAACCGTTTTTTGGTTACTACATGATTCCATATTTGTTATTTCATAGTTTTGATGTCTTCACTATTATTCTACAATGTAAAAAAAAAGTAAAAATAAAGAAAAACCCTTGAATGAGTAGGTGTGTCCAAACGTTTGACTGGTACTGTATATATATACAGTGGGGAGAACAAGTATTTGATACACTGCCGATTTTGCAGGTTTTCCTACTTACAAAGCATGTAGAGGTCTGTAATTTTTATCATAGGTACACTTCAACTGAGAGACGGAATCTACATTCACATTGTATGATTTTTAAGTAATACATTTGTATTTTATTGCATGACATAAGTATTTGATCACCTACCAACCAGTAAGAATTCCGTCTCTCACAGACCTGTTAGTTTTTCTTTAAGAAGCCCTCCTGTTCTCCACTCATTACCTGTATTAACTGCACCTGTTTGAACTCATTACCTGTATAAAAGACACCTGTTCACACACTCAATCAAACAGACTCCAACCTCTCCACAATGACCAAGACCAGAGAGCTGTGTAAGGACATCAGGGATAAAATTGTAGACCTGCACAAGGCTGGGATGGGCTACAGGACAATAGGCAAGCAGCTTGGTGAGAAGGCAACAACTGTTGGCACAATTATTAGAAAATGGAAGAAGTTCAAGATGACAGTCAATCACCCTCGGTCTGGGGCTCCATGCAAGATCTCACCTCGTGGGGCATCTATGATCATGAGGAAGGTGAGGGATCAGCCCAGAACTACACGGCAGGACCTGGTCAATGACCTGAAGAGAGCTGGGACCACAGTCTCAAAGAAAACCATTAGTAACACACTACGACGTCATGGATTAAAATCCTGCAGCGCACGCAAGGTACCCCTGCTCAAGCCAGCGCATATCCAGGCCCGTCTGAAGTTTGCCAATGACCATCTGGATGATCCAGAGGAGGAATGGGAGAAGGTCATGTGGTCTGATGAGACAAAAATAGAGCTTTTTGGTCTAAACTCCACTCGCCGTGTTTTGAGGAAGAAGAAGGATGAGTACAACCACAAGAACACCATCCCAACCGTGAAGCATGGAGGTGGAAACATCATTCTTTGGGGATGCTTTTCTGCAAAGGGGACAGGACGACTGCACCGTATTGAGGGGATGGATGGGGCCATGTATCGCGAGATCTTGTAAGGGACGACTGCACCCTCAGTAAGACCATTGAAGATGGGTCGTGACTGGGTCTTCCAGCATGACAACGACCCGAAACACACAGCCAGGGCAACTAAGGAGTGGCTCCGTAAGAAGCATCTCAAGGTCCTGGAGTGGCCTAGCCAGTCTCCAGACCTGAACCCAATAGAAAATCTTTGGAGGGAGCTGAAAGTAAACCTGAAGGATCTGGAGAAGGTCTGTATGGAGGAGTGGGCCAAAATCCCTGCTGCAGTGTGTGCAAACCTGGTCAAGAACTACAGGAAACGTATGATCTCTGTAATTGCAAACAAAGGTTTCTGTACTAAATATTAAGTTCTGCTTTTCTGATGTATCAAATACTTATGTTATGCAATAAAATGCAAATTAATTACTTAAAAATCATACAATGTGATTTTCTGGATATTTGTTTTAGATTCCGTCTCTCACAGTTGAAGTGTACCTATGATAAAAATTACAGACCTCTACATGCTTTGTAAGTAGGAAAACCTGCAAAATCAGCAGTGTATCAAATACTTGTTCTCCCCACTGTATGTATGAATACATTTTTTAAAAACGTGATTAACGTCCTGCCAAATTCTCTAAAATGACGTCGGAGACAGCTTATGGTGGAGAAATTAACATTAAATTCTCTGGCTCTGGTGGACAGTCCTGCAATCAGCCTGCCAATTGCACGCTCCCTCAAAACTTGAGACATCTGTGGCTTTATGTTGTGTGACAAAACTGCAAATTTTTTAGTGTTCTTTTATTGTCCCCAGCACAAGGTGCACCTGTGTAATGATCATGCTGTTTAATCAGCTTCTTGATATGCCACACCTGTCAAGTGGATGGATTGTCTTGGCATAGGAGAAATGCTCACTAACAGTGATGTAAACAAATTTGTGCGCAACATTTGAGCGAAATATGCTTTTTGTGCGTATGGAACATTACAGGAATCTTTTATTTCAGCTCTTGAAACATGAGACCAACACTTTACATGTTGCGTTTATATTTTTGTTCAGTATAATACAGTTAAAAAAATTATAGAGCTTGCATATCCCTTATAAGTACAAGCATTTATTTGACACTTAAAATAAATGATCACATACCTATACTGCAGTCAATTTATCATAATTAACCTTTGGTTTTCAGATGTAAGAACGTTTTTTTTAAACCTCCCCACCTTAGTTACATTGACATATATTGGTTGTAGTGCCTTTCACGTCTCTAAATCCATCCTGAATCCACGCTTCCAAAGGGATCAAGATTATGCAGATTTTCGGCATCAAAACTATCCTAATCACTACCCTTGAGTTTTGAAAAACGCGACTACAACATTTAATCTCAATTAAAGGTGAAATTTGAATACCAAACCGAATCCCAATCCGAATGATCAGATTTTCTTGTTTTACATTTGAAATACCCAATTCCAAGATTTAATACAATCCGATTGCCAAAATGAAAAACTGGTCCCAGGTGACCCTGTTTCACACATTTTGAATAGAACCATATATTACAGATGTAATTGTTGTGTGATTGTGAATTTATATACTAAGGAGCAACATGTAACATTGTACCCATACATTTGATTTCTTCGTTTTTTTGATGGACACTGCTTAGAAAAGCATAAAATGGCCAATTAGAGGTAAAAACGGTAATTAGTAGGTTGCGTTGCGTTCCAAAAAGTATGTTTCACTTTCATGGATTTCTATTCCTTTGCTACTACTGGTAAAGTATGTATTTGACATCTGGTGCGAGTTGCAGGTGGAAATGTTACATGTAGCTCTTTTAATAATACATGTTGAGAGTGAACAAAATAGGGAAAATACTGTCACATGGATTTTCGGACAGATCTATGAATTTGGCTGCGTTTGAGAATTGAGCAGAGCAATGCATAATGGAATCTGTGACTCCCATCAACACATCCCACAGTGTTCCAACGGCAACCCTTTACAAAGCATCTCCCTTCTCCTTCCCTGTATAAAGGCAGTCATAACTCATGTATGAATTATTCACAGGTAGTGAAATTGCATGGCTCTAGGGTTTCAGGCCTTGTATTGTCCCCGCCTTGGGTCGCTGAGTGGCGGGGGAAAAGTGAACTCCTCATGCGAGAGGCCTTATCATTCTCCCCCCTCCTCTTCCTCACTCCCCACCCAGTTTGGGTTGGGTCAGGGTGGGCCGGGATGGGGTGGCTGCTCTTCTCCCCCTCTGAGGAACCAGCAGGTAGGTGTAGAGAGGTACATGTAGGACACACAGTAAGCACTTTACCCAGGCTACAGTTGTACTGGACCACTAAGGAGCAGGAGGAGGAAGAAGAGGAGTGAAAAGAGGATGCCACGGGAGAGTCTAATTACCTCAGAGAGTGACAGTAAGATTTCCCGATTTTGTTTTTGTTAATATTTTTCAGACTGCATGTCACCTGGACCAGGGGATATTTGTAATGATATGTACTATTTCTGAGCTTACTCAAATGGTAAAATGTTAAGGAGATTTATATGCTTAAAAACTGTTTCTAAATGATTTAACTTTGATTTTACATTGAAAACCAGCTCATATTATCAGAGCCAGTTTTATGATCATTTGCACGATCACATTGAGTCATGAGCAATATAAAAACAATTAATTCAGTCCTCAGAATGTGATCACCTTTTGTGGCCTCCTGTAGCTCAGTTGGTAGAGCATGGCGCTTGCAACGCCAGGGTTGTGGGTTCGATTCCCACGGGGTCCAGTATGAAAAATGTATGCACTCACTAACTGTAAGTCGCTCTGGATAAGAGCATCTGCTAAATGACCAAAATGTAAATAAGGTGAAGAGGATCAGAGAGGCTTATCCTTATGGACACACAGGTGATGAGGCTGAACTTAGGGCAGGTGGGGTAATTCCCCCTGACCCCTAGTTGCTCCCCTTCTCTCCTGGACTGCTTTTGCCACAGGCCATGCTTCATTAGGCTTCATTGTGTCCTTTGTGTTTATGTGCTCTATACGTCCGTAATGACCCCTGTATCGCTCGCCACTCCGGTTACCACGCGGACACACATACAAACAAAATAAAGCCTGTCCACAAACATCTGTTCACCCTGTCAGAGGTCCCCCTTTATCTATCCACCAGAACAATACAGTATAGTACAATGATCACGCAAAACAATCCACATTTAAAGCTAGAATCCTTAATTGAAACAATAACAAAGTGGTCACCCCAGTAACCAGTAACTCTGTTCTGGTTAAAAGCTGAGGGATGCGCCTGTAGAAATGTAAGCACTCTCAAATTCATAGACAGCTATGGATGCAGGGACTGACCATCCATGTTATCAAAATGATCGTTTTAACCATGTTTTGAGGCTATACAGGGTTTGTTTACATTTACAATGTTTACAAACATTGGAGTAAAACAAGCTTATATTTTTGGTTCTGATAGGGTATGACAGTTGAATTAAGCTCATGAGGCATTTCTAAGTTATATTCTTTAAGAATCAATGGGCATATATAATTAATTTATAAGTCCAAAAATGGATGTAGCAACTAAGGATTCTAGCTTCAATGCTTGACTACGTTTTATTTTGTATACCTTCGACCTCAATCTTTTGAAAGGAAGGTTGAACACTAACAACTTATATGAAGCTTCCTCGTCTGACCCAGATTCTCCTGGGCCCATATTCACAAACTGTTTCAGAGTAAGAGTGCTGATCTAGGATCAGGTGTCACGCCCTGGCCTTGAGAGGCCGGTCGTCTTTGGTTGGTTTGGTCAGGGCGTGAGAATCTATGCTAGAAATTCTATGTTTATGTTCTAGGTATTGTATTTCTATGTTTGGCCGGGTGTGATTCCCAATCAGAGACAGCTGTCGCTCATTGTCTCTGATTGGGGATCATACTTAAGTAGCCTGTTTGCCTACCTTAGTTGTGGGATCTTGTTCCGTGTTAGCGTGTATGTGGTTAGCCTGAGGACTTCACGTTACGGTGTTTCTTGTTTTGTTTATTGAGTTAAATAAACATGTTCGCATACCACGCTGCACCTTGGTCTGACCCGTCTCTCAACGAACGTGACATCAGGTCCTCCCTGTTCTTATACTGAGACGCTTTATGAATACAGGCTTGAGTCCTCTCCTCCAATTGACTTTCTTTGTGGTCCTCATATTGTCACCCCCCTCATCACTTTACCTGTCTATTATTGTGGTCATTAATAAATGGCAGGTAAAATGATACAGGTCAATTGTGGGAGCACTGCACTGTGAATGTTTTCAATGGATTCAGTTGTTTAGATATCTTCGTCTTTATCATCTCCACCATGTCCATGAATATAACACATGAAATACACAACTGTTTTGAATTTCTGTTTCTCTTCAATCCACAGTTAGCATTGGCTTGGAGGATGCAGGTGAGTGGATCCTTGGGCTGGGTGATTGTTGATACTGTATTTCAACTGTCAATCACAGGCAGCAGCATACCTTTATTCTCTCTGCTTCAGCAAGTACAGTCAAAGTATGTAGTAGCTTTCACCTCACTAAGGCTGGAGGAGAATATACAAATTGCATTTTCAAGTCTACAAAATGTAAACATGACATACCTGCCCTGTACAACTGTTGAATTCGAATGACAAATTTAAAATGTCGGCGAGATGTCACGGACTGTGATGCAATACGAAGCAGTGTGCTCAGAGATTTGTTGGTCTTAATGGAAATGCATTTCGATTGAATACCACCCAGTCTCTCCTCTTCTGCCCTAGTGAAAGTCACCTGATTTGGCAATACATGTCAATCCCTCTGTTTCACACAAACTTCTAGTCATTCTATTTCTATGTACAGTATACAAGCTTTTAGAGTATTTTATCTATTGACCCAGAGCATATCGGATTTTCTGCCGGAATCACTGGACCCTAGCGCTGGATCATCGCAACTAGCTAGCTGCAACCGAATGGCTGTTGTCGTTGGCTAATTACCATTGCCCCTTAGCAAGCACCAGTTAGCCTTGAGCTAGCCTCGAGCCAGGCCCATCTCCTGGCTATCTACCTCTCTGTCAACCGGACGGGACCTCCTAGTGTTGACATGGAGCCCCGCCGATCCAACACGACTGGTCTGCCGACGAAATCGTCTGATGTGGTTTCAACAGGCTTCCCGTTACGACGTCGACCACGAAGATCCATCTGCTAGCCCCGGCCCGCTAGCACACGCAAGCCGTGTCTCTTGCTCGCCAGTGCTGTAGCAGCCCCCAAACTACCTCCGAACTCTCCTATTGCTGTTCACCGGACCTTATGATAACTCAGCTATACAGCTGATGTCTGCTGGACTGTTCCTTTATATGGTACCGCATCCTGTTTATGTTTAGCCTCAGCCCAAACTTTGTCGCCATTACCAGCTGTTGTCATAGCTCTCTCGAATAACACCTGTGATTGCTTTATGCCTCTCTCCCATGTCAATATGCCTTGGTTGTTGCTGTTTCGGTTATTTCTTATTGTACTATTTCACTGTAGAGCCCCCAGTCCAGCTCAACCTGCCTTAGATAGCTCCTTTGTCCCACCCCCCATACACGCAGAGATCGACTCAATCGGTGCCTCCAGTGATGCTATCTTTTCATCGTTACCCAACGCTTAGCTTTACCTCCACTGTACTCATATCCTTCCATATCATATGTGGTCCTCTGTAGCTCAGCTGGTAGAGCACGGCGCTTGTAACGCCAAGGTAGTGGGTTCGATCCCCGGGACCACCCATACACAAAAAAATTAAAAATAATGTATGCACGCATGACTGTAAGTCGCTATGGATAAAAGCGTCTGCTAAATGGCATATTATATTATTTATATTATATATCCTTGTCTGTACAAAATGCCCTGAATCTATTCTACAACGGCCGGAAATCTGCCCCTTTTTCACCCAACGCACTAGAAGACCAGTTCTTAAAGCCTTTAGCCTTATCCCTATTCTACTCCTCCTCTGTTCCTCTGGTGATGTAGAGGTTAACCCAGGCCCTGTAGCCCCCAGTATCACTCCTGCTCCCCAGGCGTTATCATTTGTTGACTTCTGTAACCGTAAAAGCCTTGGTTTCTTGCATGTTAACATCAGAAGCCTCCTCCCTAAGTTTGAATTATTCACTGCGTTAGCACACTCCGCCAACCCTGATGTTCTAGAAGTGTCTGAATCCTGGCTTAGGAAGGCCACCAAAAATTCAGACATTTCCATCCCCAACTACAACATTTTCCATCTCGATAGAACTGCCAAAGGGGGAGAGATCACGTGACCCTTGAACGAGATGGCCGCATGAACTAGGAGCTCCGCACAAGTAGTTTCCAATTCCTAATCTTACCTCCACTTCAAGTTTAAACTCATTTAGCTTTAGTCAAAAAGTCATGGCGGCTTCAAAAGGCAACACTACAGGTGACATTTTTACCCGGACTCGAGTACTAGCGACGGAAAAAGCCTCCAAGAAGCAGCTAGCTTCAGAAAAAGCTAGCGCCATTAGCCAGGAGAAAGAGGACCCGTCCCCCCCCCGAGGCCCAACGAATGCCAACCTCGCACTCTGTCGAAGACATCTTTTCTGAGCTGAGATCCCAACGTACAGAACTCAACACTAAACTAGATGCCATTAACGCTCAGCTCAGTGCGATAGGGGGCAAGGTGACAATCCTGGAAAATGCCTTGCCTGACATAAACAACAAGATAACCATAAACGCGGGGCGCCTGGACGAGGCAGAGGGGCGAATCCTATCCACGGAAAACTTATTGACAGACGCCATGGAAACAATAGCATATGCTAAAAAAAAAATAGAGCAGCTGGAAGAGAAAACAGAGGACCTGGAAAACAGGGGGCGAAGGAATAATTGTGTTCTATTAAATCTGGGCGAAAAAGAAGAGGGAAACATGCCACTGATCCGCTACCTGCAAGACAAACTTCCCGAGTGGCTCCACCTGTCCACCGACAGGCCCATAGAACTCGAGAGAGCTCACCGAGCACTGAGGCCCCCACCAGCAGCCAGACAACCACCGCGCCCAATCACCATACGTTTCCTGAGATTCACCGACAAGGAACGAGTCCTACAGGCGGCGAAAACCAACACCATTACAGTGGGAAACGCCAAACTCACCTTACTCCAGGACCTGTCAGCTGGAATACGCCGAAAGCGCCGAGAGTTTGACGAGGTGAAGAAATGCTCCATTGACCGAGGCATCTTTAGGGGATTCAAATACCCAAACGAGCTCAGGATTCTTCACCAAGGAGCCCTGCGACACTTCAAAACTCCCGAAGAGGCAAAACGTTTTTTGAAAGACAACCCCGGTCAATGAGAAATGGACCATTGACTAAATGCGATTAATGCGATTACTGTTATTACTAAAGGAGGTAAGACAACATATAGCCGATATCCAAAGACCCACCGCCCTGCTAAATTTCATTATAGCCGTCCAATCTATATTTATGTTCCTTTAGCTGAGAGGGATAGGCCCCATATTATAACTTAGGCCTACTGTATGTAGGCTGGGCTATTGATTTTATTTTCTCCCTTTCTTAATGTGTTCTGGACGGGGGCTACGTTGTCAGTTACTCAATGCGGGCGGAGAGGATGAGGCATTTCTTTGGTGGGGAGGGGGAGACGTTGTGCGTTGCTAACTGTTCCCGGTCTTTTTTTTTGTTGGAACACAGAATTGTGACTGAGCGGGGAGGTAATAGATCCAACGGGATATGTCGAGTTGTTTGGGAACTCGGCTGGGGTGTTCAGAGATTGTTATTTTATGTAAACCATTTATTTTCCTTTTATGTGAACGCAGCTGTAACTACGATCCACCTTTACCCAGAGATGACTTGCACTAAAGTTCGATTACTGTTCGATGACGATGACTAGTACCTTAAATCTATTGACATGGAACTGCCACGGTCTAGGCCATGCAATAAAACGGAAAAAGATACTATGTGCTCTAAAAAAGGAAAAAGCAGACATCGCGCTATTGCAAGAGACACACCTCTGTGATGCTGAACATGCCAAACTCCGCAGAGCTTGGGTGGGACAGGTGTATTTCTCATCTTTCAAATCCAACAGTAGAGGTACAGCAATACTTATCCATAAGAATGTTCCATTCATAATTGACAAAAACATATCTGATCCGGAGGGGAGATTTATCTTGATAACTGGGTCACTGTATGGGCAACCAATTACTATCTTAAACATATACGCCCCTAACACAGATACTCCTGCTTTTATGTCGAAAATGATAACTCTGTTCAATGAGCATTGTGTTTCCTTTGGAGTGTTGGCCGGAGATTTTAATTGTACCCTGAACCCAACCCTAGACAAATCATCTCAAATCACCACCACAAATCCTAGATCTGCAAAGATGTTGAACTCTCTTACTAAAGAGATGGGACTGATAGATATCTGGAGAGAGACTAATAGCTCAGCTATGGACTATACATACTACTCTAATGTCCATAACACCTACTCCCGTATAGATTACATTTTTATCCCAAAGAGTTTCATAAATTCAGCCACGTGTACAATCGGACCCATAGCGCTTTCGGATCACGCCTTTGTCCACCTCCGCTTTGACCTCTGCAAAAACATCCCGAGATCAAAGAGCTGGAAATTCAACACCTCCATGCTATCAAACGAAGCATTCCATACATTGGTAACTACATGGATAGACAACTACACACAAGACAACAAAGATTCTCCTGTTTCTCCGGCCACAATGTGGGACGCTGCTAAAGCCACACTAAGAGGTCATCTAATTGCATATGCTTCCTCTAAGAAAAAAGCAATGGAAGCACACAGGCTAGATCTGGAGAGGGAGCTGGAACGCTGTGAAAAAGTACATAAACAATCCCCAGACAGCACCTCCTGGAGTCAACTTAAAGCAGCCAAAGCCAAACTGAATTTGGACTATACTCGGGAGATTAAAAAAAAGTTTTCTTTACTAAACAGAAATACCATGAGTATAGCAATAGGCCTAGTAGATTGCTTGCTTATCAATTAAAAAAAGAGCAGTCAGAGCGTACAATTATGGCTATCCGAACAGCAGAGGATGAGGTCACATATGATCCAAAAAAGATCAATTTAACTTTTCATGATTTTTACTGCAAACTATATACCTCTGAGAGAAAACACACGGAGGCAGAACTCCACTCCTTCCTAGAGGGAATCTCGCTACCTAAACTATCAGAGACCGAACAAGAAGATCTCAACTCCCCCTTCACTCCTGAGGAGATCCTGGAGGCAATTACCTCCATGCCACCTAACAAGTCCCCAGGCCCAGACGGATTCCCCAGAGAGTTCTACAAAGCTTTTTGGCCCCAGCTTAGCCCTATTTTCATGCCAATGCTGGAGGATTTTTGCAAAAACTGAGTTCTCCCAGACTCAATGCACACAGCTCGCATTACAGTGTTGCTCAAAAAAGACAAGGATCCACTATCCTGCTCCTCCTTCCGGCCCATAAGCTTGTTGGATTTCGACTACAAAATAATCACCAAATTGCTCGCCAAAAGACTAAACACTCTTCTTCCCAAAATAATAAAAGCGGACCAGACGGGATTTATTAGAGACAGATACTCTTCTGATAACATTCGCCGTCTTTTTGATATTATTGATCAAGTAAACGCACAGAAGACCCCTGTCCTGCTGGCTTCACTGGATGCTGAGAAGGCGTTCGACAGGATGGAGTGGAGCTTTCTGTTCTCAGTCTTAGAGAAGTTCAACATGGGCCCAAACTTTATTAAATGGATCAAATCACTATACTCTCATCCAAATGCCATGGTGACTACTAACGGACTGAACTCTGACAGATTCCCTTTGGGACGGGGCACAAGACAAGGGTGCTCGCTGTCCCCCCTGCTCTACTTGTTGGGGGCGGAGCCTCTGGCAGAGTTGATAAGGAGCAATCCAAGTATTATGGGTGTTCCTGCAGGCGGCCTGCAGCACAAGATTTCGCTTTACGCGGATGATGTCTTGCTCTACATATCCAACCCTGAGAAATCCCTTCCTCCCATCTTAGATACAATTGCTCAGTATGGCACGTTTTCAGGTTATAAGATTAATTTTAACAAATCCACTGTCTGCCCTCTCAATATTATACTCACCAGTTCTATGAAGACACTATGCCCATTCCAATGGAAGACACAGGGGTTTCAATACCTTGGGATATTCATAACACCAGATCTGAATAGGCTTTTCAAAGAGAATTATCTTCCACTCCTGGATCAAATCAAGAACAACCTCCAAACCTGGATCTCCCTCCCAATTAGCTTAGTAGGAAGAATTAATGTAATCCGTATGAACATCCTCCCTAGACTGAACTATTTATTTCAGATGCTCCCATGCTATCTCCCAGCTTCCTTTTTCAAAACAATTAACCAAAGCATCACCAAATTTATATGGGGCAATAAAAAACCTAGGATCAAGCTTTCCACTCTATCGAAACCTGAATCTAAGGGTGGTCTTGCCCTTCCCTCCCTTCAACTGTACTACTGGTCTGCCCAAATCCGCAACATGCTAACATGGATCACAAACAGACAAGAGTCAACGTGGAGCCAGATAGAAGCCCAATCGTGTGGTTCATTGCCACTAAAGCTCAACCATATTCATTGATAACTTTAGTGAAGTGGGCAACATAGCCAAAACATTTGTGATTTACAGTACCCTACGAGCGTGGAGGGACTGTAAGAAATACTTGGGCATCTCCTCCCAAATATGTTCTCACTCGCCTATAGTAGGCAACCCAGACTTGCCAAAAGCCCTGAGAGATGCCAACTTTAATCTTTGGCATACTCTAGGAATCAGGACCTTTTCAGACCTATTTCATCAGAAGACCACTACACTGAAATCCTTTCAAGAGCTCTGCAATGAATTCAATGTGCCAAGATCCCATTTTTTTTAAATATCTACAAATTAGACATGTCATCTCCTCATTTACTTCCAAGAGGAGGTTTAGAACTCAGTTGAATGAAGTTGAAACCCTTCTTGTCACAGCACAATCCATTAAAGGCAAAATATCCTATATCTATAGACTCCTTTCTGAGAAAGGAGGATCCTCCTTTACTCCTTTGAAAATAATATGGGAAAAGGACCTTGGTCTGACTATCAGTGATGAGTTATGGGCAGAGGTTTGCGACAGGGTATACTGCTCCTCTACTAATGTAAAAATGAAAGAATCTAATTACAAATGTTTGTACAAATTTTATTACACTCCCCTGAGACTCCATAAAATGAAAACAGACATTTCTCCTAATTGTAATAGATGTACCTCTGAAAGTGGAACCTATATGCATGTATTTTGGAGCTGCAGAGAGATTGCCAGATTTTGGCAATCTATACATACTGCTGCACAGAAAACACTAGATGTACAGTTTGATATGACCCCGTGTCTCTATCTTCTTAATGCCCAGCAGGACTTTGTTCTTGATCCTGACAGAGAAAATTTGCTCATGACCATTACATACTTTGCTAAGAAATGTATTCTTCTATTGTGGGCCTCTAATACTTCTCCTACATTTAAAATGTGGATTGACCAGATTGTTGACTTTCTCCCTCTTGAAAAGCTCACTTATGACCTCCACAAGAGACAGCCCAAGTTTGATAGACTCTGGTCTCCACTACTCAACTATATTTCAAATTGGACAGAGTGAATGGGGGAATCAGGGAGATGGGCAGATGCGTGTTGTGTAAGGTGCTGTAAAACCTAAAAACTAATTATTGGCTCGTCATCTCAGCTAAGGCTGGAAATAGCTAATAAGAACCTTGATAGTGCTGCTGCAAGTTCTATAATTTACATTTTGTTATAATTATTATTTGTGTGTGTATGTATGTATGTATGTATGTATGTATGTATGTATATAAATGTATGTATATATATATACATATATAAAACAATTTTTTATTATTATTATTATTATTATTTTTTTTTTTATTTTTTTATTTATTTTTTTATTCACATCTGTGAATGTGGAATGTGTTTGGTTGGTTGATTGAAAACTTAATAAAACTTTAAATTGAAAAAAAAAAAACTGCCAAAGGTGGTGGGGTTGCAATCTACTATAGAGCTCTGCAGGCTATCATACTATCCAGGTCTGTGCCCAAACAGTTTGAGCACCTACTTCTAAAAATCCGCCTTTCCAGAAATAAGTCTCTCACTGTTGCCGCTTGCTACAGACCCCCCTCAGCCCTGAGCTGTGCAAAGGACACCATATATGAACTGATTGCCCCCCATCTATCCTCAGAGTTCGTACTGCTTGGTGACCTAAACTGGGATATGCTTAACACCTCGGCCAACCTACAATCTAAACTAGATGCCCTCAATCTCACACAAATTATCAATGAACCTACCAGGTACAACCCTAAATCTGTAAACATGGGCACCCTCATAGATATCATCTTGACAAATGTACCCTCTAAATACACCTCAGCTGTCTTCAACCAGGATCTCAGCGATTACTGCCTTATTGCCTGCGTCCGTAATGGGTCCGCGGTCAAACGACCACACCTCATCACTGTCAAATGCTCCCTAAAACACTTTAGCAAGCAGGCCTTTCTAATTGACCTGGCCGGGTATCCTGGATGGATATTGACCTCATTCCGTCAGTAGAGGATGCCTGGTTGTTCTTTAAAAGTGCTTAAATAAGCATGCCCCATTCAAAAAATTCAGAACTAAGAACAGATATAGCCCCTGGTTCTCCTCAGACTTGACTGCCCTTGACCAGCACAAAAACATCCTGTGGCGTACTGCATTAGCATCGAACAGCATGCAACCCCAACATGCAACTTTTCAGAGAAGTCAGGAACCAATATACACAATCAGTTAGGAAAGCAAAGGCTAGCTTTTTCAAACAGAAATGTGCATCCTGTAGCACTAACTCCAAAAAGTTTTGGGACACTGTAAAGTCCATGGAGAATAAGAGCACCTCCTCCCAACTGCCCACTGTACTGAGGCTAGGAAACACTGTCACCACCGATAAATCTACAATAATCGAGAATTTCAACAAGCATTTTGCTACGGCTGGCCATGCTTTCCACCTGGCTACCACTACCCCAGCCACCAGCTCTGCACCCTCTGCTGCAACTTGCCCATGCCCCCCCGAAACAATGCCATACAACACTACTTCCGTAGCCTCCAACTGCTCTTAAACACTAGTAAAACTAAATGCATGCTCTTCAACCGAACGCTGCTTGCACCCGCCCACCCGACTAGAATCACTACTGTCGGCGGGTCTGACCTAGAGTATGTGGACAACTACAAATACCTAGGTGTCTGGTTAGACTGTAAACTCTCCTTCCAGACTCACATTAAGCATCTCCAATCAAAAGTTAGATCTAGAATCGGCTTCCTATTTCGCAACAAAGCTTCCTTCACTCATGCTGCCAAACATGCCCTCGTAAAACTGACTATCCTACCGATCCTTGACTTCGGTGATGTTATTTACAAAATAGCCTCCAACACTCTACTCAGCAAATTGGATGTAGTCTATCACAGTGCCATCCGTTTTGTCACCAAAGCCCCATATACTACCCACCATTGTGACCTGTACGCTCTTGTTGGCTGGCCCTCACTATATATTCGTCGCCAAACCCACTGGTTCCAGGTCGTCTATAAATCACTGCTAGGCAAATCCCCGTCTTATCTTAGCTTACTGGTCACCATAGCAACACCCACCCGTAGTGTGCGCTCCAGCAGGTATATCTCACTGGTCATCCCCAAAGCCAACACCTCCTTTGGCCGCCATTCCTTCCAGTTCTCTGCCGCCAATGACTGGAACGAACTGCAAAAATCTCTGAAGCTGGAGACTCTTATCTCCCTCACTAACTTTAAGCATCAGTTGTCAGAGCAACTTACCGATCACATTTATATTTACATTAAAGATCACTGCACCTGTACACAGCCATTCTGAAATTAGCCCACCCAACTACCTCATCCCCATATTGTTATTTATTTTGCTAATTTGTACCCCAGTATCTCTATTTGCACATCATCTTTTGCACATCTATCATTCCAGTGTTAATACGAAATTGTAACTATATTGCACTATGGCCTATTTATTACCTTACCTCCATAACTTACTACATTCGCACACACTGTATATATATTTTCTGTTGTATTTTTGACTTTATGTTTTGTTTACCCCATATGTAACTCTGTGTTGTTGTTTTTATCGCACTGCTTTGCTTTATCTTGGCCAGGTCGCAGTTGTAAATGAGAACTTGTTCTCAACTGGCTTACCTGGTTAAATAAATAAATAAATAAAAAATGAGGGGCTGGGTTGGCTGGGGAAGACTCGAGAGGGGCTGCTGGAGGTGTTGACATGTGGCATTGTGTCCAAGTCAGGAAACACTCTCCTCTCTGCTCCCTGCTCTTACTGCCTAAATCCTCATCACACGACCTTGTGCACTCCTCAGTCCCCCTCTCACGACCTGTGTCCCCAATTACCACCGGATTAATAGGGCTTTCTGACAACAGCCTTCATCAGAGAGAGGGAGGGAGGGACGGAGAGAAAAAGGATGGAAGAGAGCAGAGTGGGTGGTATGTTAAGGGGTAGTGTAAAGTGTCCAACATGGACAGGAGTCCCAGTTGATAATATACAGTATCTTGTGTATGAAACCTGGCTGAAATGCTGCCTGTGGAAAGCCAGTATGAAGGTCTGCACTCAGGCTAGGACTGAATGGTGGCCGGTGTGTGAGGGAAAAAATATCTGGGGAGTTCAGTAGGTACTCGCACTCAAACCATAAAAAGGAACAAAAACAAGGAGTCGGAGATGCAAAAATATACTTAAGTTGAATTCCCTGCCCGAAATAATACAAAAGGTGGCAGTGCAAAGTTCTTAAAAGGGCTAAACAAAAAAAGGAGCAGGTTTTTCCTTTTTATGGTTTGTTTGAGTGTGTGTACCTACTGAACTGAAACGTTGCCTGTGCCTGTCCCTCAACAAATCACAAAATAATCTTCCATTTCAGAAGTGACTCTTGTGCCCAATCCCCAGTCAAGACCCTACCTCTATGAAATTGTGGAGATCTGAGAGGATTTGACAGGTAAAAGCAATATGGTGAAAATTCCACCTAAGCCTATCAGAGGGCAAGGTGGAGCTAATATAAAAATGAACATCTAAATTCCATTCAGATCTCATAGGGCTAGGGTTCATTTTGGGGTTGGTTATCTGTCACCTACTGGCATGTCTATCTCTTTTCCCTCTCTTTCATCTTATTCTTTCAGTGAATGTATTTTCAAAGAAACTCTAGGTGGCAGGAGATACCCCTTCATTTGTTTCCTGTTTCATATTGTTTGATTCGAATATTATTGTTTGGTTAAAATATTAGTATGGCGACTGCCATGTCTCTGTTCTTTGTTTTTACTGCAGATGAAGAGGACACAGTTATTGACTCTGATGGGAGGCAGGAGAGGGCAAAAGATAAGGAGAGAAAGAAAGTGAGGGACAGAAAGAGAAGAAGAAATGGAGCAAGAAGAGCTTCCAGTGCAGGAAAAGAAGGAAAGGAATTGGAGGACAGACCAGAAAGAGGGGAGAGGACAGGAAGAAAAAAGAGGGAGAAGGAGGGGAAAGGGAAAGGGGGAGAGGATGAGAGACAGGAAGAAGGAAAGAATGACACTGTTGCCAAAATTCAAAAGAATTTCAGCAATGAAAAGACTAGAAAACTGGAGCAAAAAGAGATGGAGGTTGTAGGAGAGGAAGATGGGGATACCGAGGGGAAGAGGAAAAATGGACACTCAAAAAAAGAGGAGAAGAAGGAGGACAATGAAAGAGGAGAGAAAGTTCAGAAGAAAAAAAAGAACAAAAGGATTGAGACAAGGTGAGATCCTGTGTGTACAATCTTGCATTGCATTTTCCATTTCAAAACATTCTGGCTGACATTTTGCATGATCAAAAGGCAGTGAAAAGTGAGTTATCCGATGCAAATGTAAATACAGCTCGCAACCCATCATCACATGTGCATCATGACATGTATTGTGCAGTGTACTAAACTCTGCATGGTTAAATAATCGCCTCATCATGATGCAAATTGTTAAAAAAAGTTTCAAATTAAATTACGGATTGCAGATAGGAATGCTCTATAATGCTCTTTTGCGTGACAACAATGTTGCCCTCTACCTTCACCAACCTTACAAACAAAAAGAAAACGACTTTCCTTGCTGTGTCAGTTCAGAGCAGGAGTCATCAGAGGAAGTGGAGGATGAGGTAGAGGAAGAGGGAGAGGAGAAACCAGAGGTCTTGTCTCCCGAGGAGTTGGAGAAGTTGAAGGAGGCAGTGGATGAGAGGAAGAAACGTATCTCAACCCTAAGAGGAAAGCCTTGGCCCATGAGGAAGAAACTGCTAACTCTACGGTGCTGAGAGAACCCCAACTCTAAAGCAAATGCTTTTCCCCAGCCCCTATACTGTTACCCCTTTCACACTATTGTGTCGAGTCGACCCATAAAAATGGAAAGAGGAGACACCTCCTATCTTTGCCATTAGACGCCTCAGTGGGCAGTGCCATTGAGTGCTATCGCCTTTATAATGTGGTCCATTTCTTCTACTTCTGTGAATTAATTGGCGGTTAATAAACAAACTGAAAAGGGAAATCTGTCTTTCTCATCCAATGGATTTTGAGAAGGAGACGAGGAGAGGACGCGAGGAGTATGCAATTGAGAAAAGGCCATAGTTTGAAAAGGCATAAAGCCAGGTTTAGTAATTTACTGCCACCTGCAGTGCTGGGATGGTTGCCCAGGAGTATGATTCATTGGCTGATCCCTCCTGCTGACCTGGATGGAAATAAACGATCCTTCCTTAACCCATAGAAAGTCCCACCCATTTGACTAATGTAAAATGGTGAAAGCCTTCCATGGCACTGTCCATGCTAAAACAGGCTTTGTGGCAAGTCCATCCAGCTCTACAGTATGTCTCGATTCCGAAACATATTTTGTGGGCTCAGATATTTCCCTGTCACATTGTCCTTTCCAGCATGGTCCCTGCAATTATAGTCCATGCATAACCAGGCCAGCACATTACAGCCCGGCTTTGTTTGGCTCGGCTCAGTAGTGTGAAAGGGGTATTAATGTAGCTGTTGGAATGTAATGGAAACAGGAAGCTTTTTTAGGACATTGGAGGAGCACAGAGTAGCCAGAGCATGGAGTATGGTGCAAAATGATTCTATTTATTTTACCAGTACCGGTACCAGTAACTGATCCTGCCTCGTATTTCACAGGGAGTCCCATGAGTTTGTGGAGAAATATGAGGGAGCTCTTGGGAAAGGAAAGAGCAGAAAACTGTATGCATATAAAGTCATGATGTTGAAGGTGAGGACGGAGTCATCTGTTATAGGTGACAAGGGCATTGATTGTGTGTTCTTTATTGTGTCATGTTTATGCTACCAGTTATCTATGATCCTTTACAACACCAGTATAGTCAGCAGGCCTATGTGGGATCTATTTCATGACACTGCTGGTTTTGCTGTTAGAAATGGATGAAGTTTCAGAGGGACTTTGAAAACTTCAAAACTGCTTGCGTTCCATGGGAGATGAAAATCAAAGAGATTGAGAGTAAGTATGTCTCTTACCTCTTCCTTTTATATCCCTGCAAGGTTTTGTTGGTGCTCCCTAAATGTCCTTATTTTTTCAAACTCCCTGAAAAGGTTAGCACACAGCTAGCTACCTCTGTTCCTTACGCCCCCTGTTTCTCTAATTTGTGTATCACTTTTTTGAGGACCCCTGTGGCCCTCTTGCTGACCTCCTTGAAGTCCTTGGAAGTCACTCTGTGATCCACTGATTTATGTCATTCTCCTCAGTGTGATGAAACACAGTACCATGACTGTTTTTGTGCCTCCTACAGGCCATTTTGGCTCCTCGGTTGCCTCCTACTTCATATTCCTGAGGTGGATGTATGGCATCAACATGATCCTCTTTGGGCTGACGTTTGGCCTGGTCATGGTGCCAGAGGTAGGGGGCCATTTGATCCTGAAATCAGAATTCGGTGTAGACATGATATAATTCACATTTCCTCATATATGCTCATATACAGTAATTTAATATAAAAATGACTAATTGTTATTTATTTATAAATGAGGCCCCACCCACTGAGCAAAAACTAGCTGAATGAACGTTGTTTCCACATAATTCCAACAAAAAAATTCACTGATTGGATTTGCAAAAAGTTATCAACGTAAGGGAATATCTTATTTTTTTGGCCCAACTTTTCACCTAAATCCAATGACATGGTGAATTTTTTTGATGATTTCAGGTTGAATTCATGTTAGTTGACAACTCAACCAAATGTAAATCAAAACTAAACATTGAAATGATGTCCAGTGGGCAGGCTCTTGTAGTGTCTCAAGGACCTACAGATACTTTAACTCTTTATTTCTGTCTAGGCTCTGATGGGCAGGCCATATGGTAGCATGCCCAGAAAGACTGTCCCTAGAGCTGAGGAAGCCAACGCCATGGACTTTGCTGTCCTATGGGACTTTGGGGTCTTTAATAATTTTTTATTTGTGTAATGTGACCACTGTGTAATGTTACCACTAACATTACTCTTTATGTGTGTGTGCCTCACAGTGTGCGTGGTGTTTTTAAAGTTGTCAAGAAGTTGTTACTACTAAATTAAATCTGAATCGTGTGTGTCCCAGGGCTACGCCCAGTATTCTGTCCTCTTTTATGGCTACTACAACAGCCAGCGCGCCATTGGCTGGCTCAAGTTCCGCATGCCCCTCTCCTACTTCCTGGTTGGTGTGGGAACTGTGGCCTACAGCTATATGGTGGTGATAAGGACGTGAGTACCTGTATGTTTACTAGTCTCTCAGTGGTCCTCAAAGCCCCCCTCCCCTCCCTATGTTCAGATAGACCAGGGATGCAGTTCTCTGCAGTCCTCCTGACTTTAATCCTTGCATTTTAACTGGGGACAAGGTTGTGCAACAACAGGAAATTAAAATGAGCGTTTCGTATTGGACAAGTCCAGATCCTTCTCTGTTTCAGTCCGTTATATTCCATTTGGTGCCTAGTGAAAAGGACCATGGTGTGTGCACATTTTGCCAATTGTGACAACAACAAAAAAAGTGTAACATTGATCACATTTCCAGTGAGAAACAAAAACCGACAGGAGTTGTGCACCCCTGAGACTGAGTCTCAGTCAAATCCTCTGATTTCTGATGTTATTGTTTGAAGCTTCTTCTATTTATTACGAAACATGTTAAAGTATGGCCCGGAACGCTAATGAGGATGGGGGCGGAGATGACAACAGCTTCAATTTCAGCTGGAAGATGTTCACCAGCTGGGATTACCTCATCGGCAACCCAGAGACAGCCGACAACAAGTTTGCCTCCATCACCACCAGCTTTAAGGTAAACACATTAGTGTAACAACCACAGGTACTAGGAAAGGGCAGGGTCAATAAAGACCAGAGGGGTATCATACGAAGCAAGGTTGAGGAGTTAGCGAGGTAACTTTGGTCAACTCTGAGTTCAACTCAGGATAACCAGTCATACGAAAGTGGCTCACCATTTAGCCAGGGACATTTCTATGGCAACGAATCCTTCAGAACGAACCTGCTCTGGGGCAGGCTAACTCACAGCTAACTCCACTTCCCCTGAATGAAATGACTGAGCCTCGAGTTGAGGACCAATGAAATCAGATTCCCTTCCTCAGTCCCTCTTGCAAAGATTGTGTCATCATCCCCTTCATTTGAGGAAGACGACTGATTAAATATTGTATTAATCAAATGTTTTTTTGTGTTAAAAATTGTAATGTTAAAATATCACATTACACATTTAGTAAGACATAATGCATTTTAAACTTCACACAATGTACACTACCGTTCAAAAGTTTGGGGTCACTTAGAAATGTCATTGTTTTCGAAAGAAAAGCAAATTTGTTGTCCATTAAAATAACATCAAATTGATCAGAAATACAGTGTAGGCATTGTTAATGTTGTAAATGGCTATAGTAGCTGGAAATGAAGGCTATTCCATGCGAGAAATTGCCAAGAAACTGAAGATCTCGTACAACGCTGTGTACTACTCCCTTCACAGAACAGCGCAAACTGGCTCTAACCAGAATAGAAAGAGGAGTGGGAGGCCCCGGTGCACAACTGAGCAAGAGAACAAATACATTAGAGTGTCTAGTTTGAGAAACAGGCGCCTCACAGGTCCTCAACTGGCAGACTGGGTCTGAGATATGGCTTTTTCTTTGCAACTCTGCCTAGAAGGTCAGCATCCCGGAGTCGCCTCTTCACTGTTGACGTTGAGACTGGTGTCGCATGGAATAGCCTTCATGCTCTACAACATTCGGAAAGTACGACCCTGCCTTACACAGGAAGCAGCACAGGTCCTAATCCAGGCACTTGTCATCTCCCGTCTGGATTACTACAACTCGCTGTTGGCTGGGCTCCCTGCCTGTGCCATTAAACCCCTACAACTCATCCAGAATGCCGCAGCCCGTCTGGTGTTCAACCTTCCCAAGTTCTCTCACGTCACCCCGCTCCTCCCCACACTCCACTGGCTTCCAGTTGAAGCTCGCATCTGCTACAAGACCATGGTGCTGTGAGGGGAACGGCACCTCCGTACCTTCAGGCTCTGATCAGTCCCTACACCCAAACGAGGGCATTGCGTTCATCCACCTCTGGCCTGCTGGCCCCCCTACCAGTTCCCGCTCAGCCCAGTCAAAACTGTTCGCTGCTCTGGCACCCCAATGGTGGAACAAGCTCCCTCACGACGCCAGGACAGCGGAGTCACTCACCACCTTCCGAAGACACTTGAAACCCCATCTCTTTAAGGAATACCTGGGATAGGATAAAGTAATCCTTCTACCCCCCCCCTTACCCCACCCCCCAATTTTTTTTTTTACATATTGTAAAGTGGTTATCCCACTGGCTATAAGGTGAATGCACCAATTTGTAAGTCGCTCTGGATAAGAGCGTCTGCTAAATGACGTAAATGTAAATGTAAATTTCTCAGAACAAAAATAGACTGACGAGTTTCAGAAGAAAGTTATTTGTTTATGGCCATTTTGAGCATGTAATCGAACTCACAATTGCTGATGCTCCAGATACTCAACTAGTCTCAAAAAGGCCAGTTGTATTGCTTCTTTAATCAACACAACAGTTTTCAGCTGTGCTAACATAATTGCAAAAGGGTTTTCTAATGATCAATTAGCCTTTTTAAATGATAAACTTGGATTAGCAAACACAACGTGCCATTGGAACACAGGACTGATGGTTGCTGATAATGGGCCTCTGTACGCCTTTGAGGATATTCCATCAAAAATCAGCCATTTCCAGCTACTATAGCCATTTACAACATTAACAGTGTCTACACTGTATTTCTGATCAATTTGATGTTATTTTAATGGACAAAAAAATTGCTTTTCTTTCGAAAACAAGGACATTTCTAAGTGACCCCAAACTTTTGAACGGTAGTGTAACTTTTGTATGACTTAATAAAATACAAATATTGATAGGAGTGGGAAAAAATATGCTTGTGCATTGATAAGCACACCCCAAATGCAGCAGTCTGGCCCTTGCCTGAGTAGATCTAGCTTGCTTCATAGGATACCCCTCTGAACAGGGTACCGGTATGGAATTCACACAACACAGCATTATCAAAAAATATAGTTTACTACAAATAACTAAGGTTAAAATAGTTTACAAGCTGTATAGGCTGACAGCTTAGAGTGGCAATCAAAAGGTTTGCAGTTTGTGTCTCCAGTATAAAAGGCAGATAAAATAATTTCAGTGTAACATGCAATATGCAATTCTCAAGTTGTGCAGCTCAGGTACAGCAAATATCAGGATAACAAGTCTAAACACAGCAAACGTCAGACAACACGTCTAGTAAGAGTACATATCAAAAGGGTCATAAAGACTTAAAGTGCTTTATGCAATAGATAGTCAAGCCCTTGTACAATTACACAATCAACACCTTTGCTGGCTGTCTCCAAGTCCACACAGCTACCAAACACAAGTTGTACTCAGGATACGTAAATCATAAATAGTCTGGCGTCCCATTGTGAGGTAGGTATGAGTCCACCATCTGCGGGGGACGCACAGCCCGAACGTGCACCTCCCCACAATTCCCAACCAACGCGTCTCCCAACCAACGCGTCTCCTGGTACGTGTTGACAGATGGTGAAATTGCTTGAGCTGCGCTGAGAATTCGAAATGTATGAATGCCAACAGTCCAATATTCTAGAACACAGTGCATACGTGTACATGTTTGGTACTCCCGAGTGGCGCAGTGGTCTAAGGCACTGCATCGCAGTGCTAGCTGTGCCACTAAAGATCCTGGTTCGTGTCCGGGACACCCATGCGCGGCGCACAATTGGTCCAGCGTCGTCCAAGGTAGGGGAGGGTTTGGCCGGCAGGGATGTGGGTTCGTTTCCCACGGGGGGCCAGTACGAAAAAACAAAACAAAAAAAAACATGTATGCATTCACTAACTGTAAGTTGCTCTGGATAAGAGCGTCTGCTAAATGACTAAAATGTAATTTTATAGATTAGACCCTTTACAATAAACACACACACAGAGACTGGACAGAAGATTTGTCAATTGTGAATGAATGTCAGTTTGCGGCTACCATAGGTCTGGTGTGGGACATGAAGACAGCAGTGAGAGACAGAATAACAACAAAAAAATCCAGAAAAACGCATGTCAAAAATGTTATAAATTGATTTGCATTTTAATGAGGGAAATAGGTATTTCACCCCCTCTCAATCAGAAAGATTTCTGGCTCCCAGGTGTCTTTTATACAGGTAACGAGCTGAGATTAGGAGCACACACTTAAAGGGAGTGCTCCTAATCTCATCTTGTTACCTGTATAAAAGACACTTGTCCACAGAAGCAATTAATCAATCAGATTCCAAACTCTCCACCATGGCCAAGAACAAAGATTCCTCTGATGCAATGATCATGAGAACGGTGAGGAATCAGCCCAGAACTACACGGGAGGATCTTGTCAATGATCTCAAGGCAGCTGGGACCATAGACACCAAGAAAATAATTGGTAACACACTACGCCGTGAAGGACTGAAATCCTGCAGCGCCCGCAAGGTCCCCCTGCTCAAGAAAGCACATATACAGGCCCGTCTGAAGTTTGCCAATGAACATCTGAATGATTCAGAGGAGAACTGGGTGAAAGTGTTGTGGTCAGATGAGACCAAAATCGAGCTCTTTGGCATCAACTCAACTCGCCATGTTTGGAGGAGGAGGAATGCTGCCTATGACCCCAAGAACACCATCCCCACCGTCAAACATGGAGGTGGAAACATCATGCTTTGGGGGTGTTTTTCTGCTAAGGGGACAGGACAACTTCACCGCATCAAAGGGATGATGGATGGGGCCATGTACTGTCAAATCTTGGGTGAGAACCTCCTTCCCTCAGCCAGGGCATTGAAAATGGGTCGTGGATGGGTATTCCAGCATGACAATGACCCAAAACACACGGCCAAGGCAACAAAGGAGTGGCTCAAGAAGAAGCATATTAAGGTCCTGGAGTGGCCTAGCCAGTCTCCAGACCTTAATCCCATAGAAAATCTGTGGAGGGAGCTGAAGGTTCGAGTTGCCAAACGTCAGGCTCGAAACCTTAATGACTTGGAGAAGATCTGCAAAGAGGAGTGAGACAAAATCCCTCCTGAGATGTGTGCAAGCCTGGTGGCCAACTACAAGAAATGTCTGACCTCTGTGATTGCCAACAAGGGTTTTGCCACCTAGTACTAAGTCATGTTTTGCAGAGGGGTCAAGTACTTATTTCCCTCATTAAAATGCAAATCAATGTATACAATTTTTGACCTGCGTTTTTCTGGATTTTTCTGTTGTTATTCTGTCTCTCACTGTTCACATAAACCTACCAATAAAATTATAGACTGATCATGTCTTTGTCAGTGGGCAAACGTACAAAATCAGCAGGGGATCAAATACTTTTTTCCCTCACTGTAGAGGTGCATTCTCCAGAGCCACTCCGGCAACAAATCAGAGCACACAAGAAAGTAATTCAAACGGACCAATAGGAAATCATACACATTTCACATACCAATTGTATATACTCTAATAGGGGCACCTCCACCCTGTTACATTAGTTTATGTATGGTAATGTTTAATTGGTTGTCTCTCTCTCTCTCTGTGTAAGTGTGTGTGTGTGTTTGTGCATGTGTGTTTGTGCGAGTGTGTGTTTGTGCATGTGTGTCTGTTCTCTGCCCTTATGATGCCATCTTCCTAGGAGGCCATTCTGGAGGAACAGGAGAGCAGGAAGGATGACAACATCCACTTGACCCGTTTCCTGCGGGTTCTGGCCAACTTCCTGGTGCTGTGCTGTCTAGCAGGAAGTGGATATCTCATCTACTTTGTGGTGCGTCGCTCCCAGAAGTTTGCTTTAGAGGGACTGGAGAGCCATAGCTGGTGGGAGAGGAATGAGGTAGAAGCATGTGCGTGTGTGTGTGTGGGTGTAAGTGTGTTTGACTTAGAGAAGGCTGGTGGGAGGAGATATAGGAGGACGGGCTCATTGTAATAGCTGGAATGGAATAAATGGAACAGTATCAAACATATCAAACATATGGAAACCACATGTTTGACTCCGTTCCTTAGATTCCATTCCAGCCAATATAATGAGCCTGTCCTCCTATAACTCCTCCCACCAGCCTTTTCTGATTTACATGTGTTTGTAATCAGTACCTTGATTAATTATTATTATTTGTGCAATCTGTATGTTTTTGCATGTCTGTGTGATTGCGTGTATATTCATTTATTCATAGGTGTAAATAACAGTATACTGTACTGTATGTGTGTTAATGTCCCTCAGGTGAACATGGTGATGTCCCTCCTGGGGATGTTCTGTCCCATGCTGTTTGATGTCATCAGTGCACTAGAGAACTATCACCCCCGCATTGCTCTACAGTGGCAGCTGGGACGCATCTTCGCCCTATTCCTGGGGAACCTCTACACCTTCATCATCGCACTCATGGATGAGATCAACCTCAAAGTAAGTCTGGTAGCCTGTAGCTAGTTACACCACATAGCTCCATGAAGTGTTCTAACCTAAAACCCTTTTATCTTCTAAGGGTTCTACCAACAACCCTCTAGGGTTCCTTGAACCCTTTGTAAAGTGTTTTTAACAACAATAGGAATACGAATGACCCCAAAAAACTATTCTACAGTTATTTTCAGATTATTATTTGACACCAACTGAGGTTTTCCTACGCAAGTATCGACCTATTATTTCTGTAGATGGGGAAACATTATCTGACAAGGGAAAACAACGCCTGTCTTTAAATTGAGCACTAACTGCTTTGTTTTTGTTTATTTAAGCGGGAGGAGGAGGAGGTGCTAAAGCTTAATATGACTATATGGGAGGCCAGTTTGTATAATGGGACCCTGGGAGCGAACAGCACAGCTCCTCCCATCACCGTCCACCCTGCCGACATCCCACGAGGACCCTGCTGGGAAACCATGGTGGGACAGGTAATGAATGATAAAATACTATTTGAATCTAGGTCTGGTAATGACAAACAACTTTTTGTTTGGGTGAATTGGAAGGGGTGCATGCATTCATGATTCTTGTGTGTATGTTTAGTAGCATTTTTACAGCGTAAATGTACTGTGGTGAAGTGTGTATTATTTGCCATTTAATATACTTTGGTAATATGTAGGAATTTGTCAGACTTATTGTGTCGGATACCATGACAACCTACATCACGCTCCTGATCGGTGACTTCTTGCGTGCTGTGCTGGTGCGTTTCCTCAACTACTGCTGGTGTTGGGACCTGGAGGCTGGATTTGTGAGTCTCTGGATTGACCACTTTGCTCTACTCTGTATTTAGGCTTGAAATCTGTTTAAGCCATACTTCAAGTCCATTTTGTCATTTCATTGACATTGATTTTGGGGTAACACTTTACTTGAAGGGGGTATACATAAGGCATTCATAACACCTTTATAAAACCAGTCATGACACCTGTATACATGTTGCATAGTCTCGTCCACCAGCTGGCTCTCTCTCAGTCGAACAGTCTGGTCTGTTGAATGATAATGAATAAATGTGGGATGAAGGTTGTTATGAATGATATTGCAACATCCATAAAGGTATCATGACTGGTTTCAGAGATGTGTTATAATTAAGCAATAAGGCCAGAGGGGGTGTGGTATATGGCAAATATACCACGGCTAAGGGCTGTTCTTATGTACGATGCAACGCAAAGTGCCTGGATACAGGCCTTAGCTGTGGTATAGTGGCCATATACCACAAACCCCTGAGGTGCCTTATTGCTATTATAAACTGGTTACCAACGTAATTAGAGCAGTAAAAATAAATGTTTTGTCATACTCGTGGTATACGGTCTGATATACCACCACTTTCAGCCAATCAGCATTCAGGGCTCGAACCACCCAGTCTATAATGGCTTATGTATAGCCCCTTCAAGTATTACTGATTTGGTCACTGATTTGATTAATTGCACCGACATTGACTATTGTTGTCTTCCTTTGTGTAAGCCCTCCTACTCAGAGTTCGATGTCAGTGGGAATGTCCTGGGCCTGATCTTCAACCAAGGCATGATATGGTAGGAGGTTGCTGCTGTGATCTTATTGTGGCACTTCCACAATAAGAGGCCCTCAGATAGCAAAGTAAGGCTAGGTTTTCCACTGGTACGTAGAATTGAATGAACAGATACATGGGCTGATGTACAAAAATAGCTTCTTGGCAACAACTAAGGGGCTGCAAATGTGCCTTGCATTTAGGCAACCCGGTCATGCATTTAAAGGCGTTATAGGACATTTGACAGCAGTCTTGCAGTGTGACGTTTGTACGCTGCTCAAAAAAATAAAGGGAACACTTAAACAACACATCCTAGATCTGAATGAATGAAATAATCTTATTAAATACTTTTTTTCTTTACATAGTTGAATGTGCTGACAACAAAATCACACAAAAATTATCAATGGAAATCAAATGTATCAACCCATGGAGGTCTGGATTTGGAGTCACCCTCAAAATTAAAGTGGAAAACCACACTACAGGCTGATCCAACTTTGATGTAATGTCCTTAAAACAAGTCATAATGAGGCTCAGTAGTGTGTGTGGCCTCCACATGCCTGTATGACCTCCCTACAATGCCTGGGCATGCTCCTGATGAGGTGGCGGATGGTCTCCTGAGGGATCTCCTCCCAGACCTGGACTAAAGCATCCGCCAACTCCTGGACAGTCTGTGGTGCAACGTGGCGTTGGTGGATGGAGCGAGACATGATGTCCCAGATGTGCTCAATTGGATTCAGGTCTGGGGAACGGGCGGGCCAGTCCATAGCATCAATGCCTTCCTCTTGCAGGAACTGCTGACACACTCCAGCCACATGAGGTCTAGCATTGTCTTGCATTAAGGAGGAACCCAGGGCCAACCGCACCAGCATATGGTCTCACAGGGGGTCTGAGGATCTCATCTCGGTACCTAATGGCAGTCAGGCTACCTCTGGCGAGCACATGGAGGGCTGTGCGGCCCCCCAAAGAAATGCCACCCCACACCATGACTGACCCACCGCTGGAGGATGTTGCAGGCAGCAGAACGTTCTCCACGGCGTCTCCAGACTCTGTCACGTCTGTCACATGTGCTCAGTGTGAACCTGCTTTCATATGTGAAGAGCACAGGGCGCCAGTGGCGAATTTGCCAATCTTGGTGTTCTCTGGCAAATGCCAAACATCCTGCACGGTGTTGGGCTGTAAGCACAACCCCCACCTGTGGACGTCGGGCCCTCATACCACCCCCATGGAGTCTGTTTCTGACCGTTTGAGCAGACACATGCACATTTGTGGGGTTATTTTGCTGGCTCTGGCAGTGCTCCTCCTGCTCCTCCTTGCACAAAGGCGGAGGTAGCGGTCCTGCTGCTGGGTTGTTTCCCTCCTACGGCCTCCTCCACGTCTCCTGATGTACTGGCCTGTCTCCTGGTAGCGCCTACATGCTCTGGACACTGCGCTGACAGACACAGCAAACCTTCTTGCCACAGCTCGCATTGATGTGCCATCCTGGATGAGCTGCACTACCTGAGCCACTTGTGTGGGTTGTAGACTCCGTCTCATGCTACCACTAGAGTGAAAGCACCGCCAGCATTCAAAAGTGACCAAAACATCAGCCAGGAAGCATAGGAACTGAGAAGTGGTCTGTGGTCACCACCTGCAGAACCACTTCTTTATTGGGGGTGTCTTGCTAATTGCCTATAATTTCCACCTGTTGTCTATTCCATTTGCACAACAGCATGTGAAATGTATTGTCAATCAGTGTTGCTTCCTAAGTGACAGTTTGATTTCACAGAAGTGTGATTGACTTGGAGTTACATTGTGTTGTTTAAGTGTTCCCTTTATTTTTTTGAGCAGTGTATATTCAAACCAGACCTCCCGCGGGTGAAATACACGTGCCATCATATGTAGTTGTGTCAAAATGGTTATTGATCTCCTATTTTCTTGTTTAAACCCCCTAAAGTCGATGTCCAGTCCCCACATATATCGAATTAGCATAATACAAAAATCCCCATAAAAATCTGTCTGTTTAAGCTAGAGATGTGTTTGTCAGACCATGAGACATCCTGAAAATTGGTCTTCTCACAGAAACGTCTGTAGCGTCCGAACGGTCTGGCCTACAAACTAATAACTCGTCTGAATGTAGCCCGGTACCAGTTTAAAAAATGAATGGAAGTATGGAAGTGGTTTAGAGACAATACATTTTTATATGGGTAAATAAATATATAAATCATTTCCTGATCTTTCTTATATCTCTCAGATATAGGACAGACACTTTAAAACAAACTTCCTTTTGATAACAATGTACTATCTGTTTTCCATTTATGAATCTGTTATTCAATGCGTTTCTAGCAGTAAGGCCAAATTCAGTGTTTCATCAAATATTTTTTATATATTTTTAGTGGGATACTTAAACGGGTCCTAAAATTCACAATCAAATAGCTAAATGATCCTTGACCATCTTAAAACAATTCCATATGTTTAGGAGAACCCCCCCCCCCCCCTTAAGGATTAACCACCCTCATTCACTTCTTTCTCTCTCTGTTAGGATGGGTGCGTTCTATGCCCCCTGCCTGCCTGCTCTGAACGTGTTGAGACTGCATGTGTCAATGTACCTGCAGTGCTGGGCCGTCATGTGCTGTAACGTTCCCCAGGAGAGGGTGTTCAAGGCCTCAGGCTCCAACAACTTCTACATGGCTATGCTACTGGTCATCCTCTTCCTCTCAACGCTGCCTGCCATCTACACCATAGTCACCATCCCCCCCTCCTTCGATTGTGGCCCCTTCAGGTAACAGAAAAACACCTGCATTCTGTATATGACAAGACATGCATGTAAACACACACACACACACACACAGTTGTTGTGTGATGAAAGTTTCTCATCTCTGATTGCTCCACTGCAGTGGGAAGAGCCGCATGTTTGATGTGATCCAGGAGACGCTGGAATCTGATTTCCCTGCCTGGTTTGGGAAGATGTTCAGCTACGCCTCCAACCCTGGCCTGGTGCTGCCTTTCCTACTGCTCATGGTGTGAGTAGTCAGGGCTAATGATCCACAGGGCAGTCCCCAGGCTATAGAATGCCTACCTGTTCTATGTGGAATATACAGATGAAGTTGGAAGTTTACATACACCTTAGCTAAATACATTTCAACTCTTTTTTTCACAATTCCTGACATTTAATCCTAATAAAAATGATTGTCTTAGGTCAGTTAGGATCACCACTTTATGTTAAGAATGTGAAATGTCAGAATAATAGTAGAGATAATTATTTATTTCAGCTTTTATTTATTTCATCACATTCCCAGTGGGTCAGAAGTTTACTACATACACTCAATTAGTATTTGGTAGCATTGCCTTTAAATTGTTTAACTTGGGTCAAACGTTTCGGGTAGCCTTCCACAAGCTTCCCACAATAAGTTGGGTGAATTTTGGCCCATTCCTCCTGACAGAGCTGGTGTATCTGAGTCAGGTTTGTAGGACTCCTTGCTCGCACATGCTTTTTCAGTTTTGCCCACAAATGTTCTATAGGATTGAGGTCAGGGCTTTGTGATGGCCACTCCAATACCTTGACTTTGTTGTCCTTAAGCCATTTTGCCACAACTTTGGAAGTATGCTTGGGGTCATTGTCCATTTGGAAGACCCATTTGCGACCAAGCTTTAACTTCCTGTCTTGAGATGTTGCTTTAATATATCCACATAATTTTCCTTCAATCATGATGCCATCTATTTTGTGAAGTGCACCAGTCCCTCCTGCGGCAAAGCACCCCCACAGCATGATGCTGCCACCCCCATGCTTCACGTTTGGGATGGTGTTCTTCGGCTTGCAAGCCACCCTCTTTTCCTCCAAACATAACGATGGTCATTATGGCCAAACAGTTCCATTGTTGTTTCATCAGACCAGAGGACATTTCTCCAAAAAGTATGATCTTTGTCCCCATGTGCAGTTGCAAACCGTAGTCTGTTTTTTTTATGGCGGTTTTGGAGCAGTTGCTTCTTCCTTGCTGAGCGGCCTATCAGGTTATGTCGATATAGGACTCGTCTTACTGTGGATATAGATACTTTTGTACCTGTTTCCTCCAGCATCTTCACAAGGTCCTTTGCTGTTGTTCTGGGATTGATTTGCACTTTTCGCACAGAACGCGTCTCCTTCCTGAGCGGTATGACGGCTGCGTGGTCCCATGGTGTTTCTACTTGTGTACTATTGTTTGTACAGATGAACGTAGTACATTCAGGCATTTGGAAATTGCTCCCAAGGATGAACCAGACTTGTGGAGGTCTACAATTTTTGGGGGGAGGTCTTGGCTGATTTCTTTTGATTTTCCCATGATGTCAAGCAAAAAGGCACTGAGTTTGAAGGTAGGCCTTGAAATACATCCACATGTACACCTCCAATTGACTCAAATTATGTCAATTAGCCTATAAGAAGCTTCTAAAGCCATGACATCATTTTCTGGAATTTTCCAAGCTGTTTAAAGGCACAGTCAACTTAGTGTATGTAAACTTCTGACCCACTGGAATTGTGATACAGTGAATTACATTATATAATCTGTCTTTAAACAATTGTTGGAAAAATTACTTGTGTCATGCACAAAGTAGATGTCCTAACCGACTTGCCAAAACTATAGTTTGTTAACAAGAAATGTGTGGAGTGGTTGAAAAACAAGTTTTAATGACTCCAACCTAAGTGTATGTAAACTTCCGACTTCAACTGTACAAGATAACAATGTAAAATAAAATATGTGGTATTTGTTCCCCCCTACACACAGTTTGGCCATTTATTACTTGCAGTCTACATCAAAAAGCTACAAGCAAGCCAACCTGGAATTAAAGAAGAAACTTCAAACCGTAAGTCATGCCGTCAATAAGGTTCTGACACTGATACATTCATTACCTATTATATTCCCTGTGTGGTACTTGCACTGACATAGTCTGTCCACCAGAGAGAAGCAATTGCCATAGTATATAATTTCTCTAAACTGATCAAATCTTCACACTCACTTGTCAATAACAAGGGTCCCACAGCCGACCTGCATGCAGCTGAGGTTACATCATCTGATGGACAGGGAAGTGCCAGTTATTTAGGGTATGAGAGTATATTTAAGCTACAATATTGCAAATATCAAAAACATAAGCAGGAGGCTGAGAGGCAGACAAGTAGCAATTTGACATATATTTTTTCAGGTGGGGAATTAGAGGCAGTTACGGAACCACATCCACTGCTTAAACTAAACATGATGTGATCCCTGTAATATCGGTCAGAAGGTTTGGTGCCATTCCTGTATAGTAGCTGCTTCTTTACTTCCAGCAAAATGAAGAAAACAAGAAGAAGAAGAAAATGGCTGCACTGAAAGCTGCCATGGATTTAGAGGAGGCTCAAAACGCTCGGTCAGAAGCACCGCGGCAACAGAGAAACAACAATGCCTCTCAGCAATCTTATAGGGGTGAGAAGAATACTGTGGCAGGACATTTCGTTAGCAGTTTTGTTTTTGTTTAGTATCTGTAAATTTTATTCACACCAAGTTATGTCATCATACCTCTCCTCTCCCCCTGTCTCTTTCTAAGAAGATAGAGGAGAAAAGAAGGGTGGGGAACACAGGGCACATCAAGGAAAGAGCAACCATCAAATTCCCCCTTCTGCCACCAGACCCCCAGCCCCGAGGGGCCACGGATTGCCTGGGCCCCTACCAGGAAACCAGCGGCAACCAGCACCCAGTGTTCAGAGGGTCCCAAACTCACAGAGACACTGAGTATGACTGCTGTCACAGATGTGGAAATGGCAAGCACTTTATAGAGACACACACACTCCACCCTGCATTCTCTGATTTCAGAGGCAGACTGAAAGTAAAAGACTGTTAATGTGACTTTAAAACCAGAGGTATCATGACTGGTAATAGGTGATTCCTTATTAGCATGTTGTACATTACAGTTATAATGGGCCTTTATTCAAACAGTGTTATGTGAATTGTGACTGTAAAAATTAAACTTTTTGAATTGGTGAAAGATTCATTTATAATGTATAATTTCTTATTAATTTGTACTAACTATTCTGCACACCAAGCAACATAAAATGTATTTGACGTTGACAGGTCAAACATGTTATTGACCCGATGAGTTAATACATTATATCCAGTGTTATTACATTATCCGGTTTTACAAGCACCTTACATTATGCAGAGCTATTAAAGCACTAAAGTTTAAACACTGAAATACCATCAATTCAGGAAATGTTCTTGGTTGGCCAACAGTTTAGAAGTTGTCTTTGAGCACATTATAGGAATAACTCCCCTTCCGCCAATTCTAACTTTAACTGCAGGGTTACATCATAGGGGGAATGTCATTCAATGTATGTCACTTTGTACATTTATATTCAAAACAGGATACAATGATCAACTTGAAATGCTGACTGTTTTCAGTGACTGGGTAATAAGAGACAGCTCCCATCAACCAAACCTATTAAGGAAACAAGGACACAATTCCCACGAATCGAAACGTTGGACATGCACCGCAGTTAACTTTATCAGAGGTCCTTGGCCTGAACAAATATATCTGTAGGACTCTAAGCTTCACATACTCATTGAGTGTCCCTGTGCTCAGATCCACAGAGTGTCCCAATATCTTGCCTCTGGTGCACTGATTGGACAGTGATCTTATTTGTTAATCATCCTGTCATTCCTCCTCTGTGAGATCAGGAGTGAGATAGTATACCAACGTCTAATTACTGTACCTTGCATGGCTTAATAACCCTTAATTTGAAGGGGTTGATCATCATCCCAAACAGTCAAACACAAACTTATTGTGCATTGCTTCTCTGAGTTATTTGAGTATGGGAGTCAACATCCCCAACTGAAGGTTAACTCAACCACTTAAAAGGAACCATGACAAATCAATCCTATAATGGCATTGACATTTATTCATTCCAGGACTGGCGCATAAGTACAATCCATTAACATTGCAAATGCTCATGTTCAATTCATGGACAGTTATCATTAAGTATTCATTTGAGTTATTTGAGATCTTAAGAAACCACAAGACCCTTATGCTCCATTTCCCCCCACAAACTTTTAAATGATTGTTGGTCCGGTTGGTTTCTTTGGTGAAGAAACATTTGTCTTTAGTCACAACAGAAGACACAAGCGTGATTCATGCATTTCTTGAGCTCATTCTCAAGGTTGGTATAGTATATTCTGGATCATCCAAAGGCACAGTTACCTTACCCCAATATAGGTAATCAGCTACCACTGTGCCCGCTGTCTCAACCCAACTTAGCTCTGTTTGGCTACCTCCCAGTCTCCTGCCATGTTTGTACAATGGGCAGGATATCTGGACCGTGACCGCGTGGTCTCGATTACCGGATATATCAATGTTATAGTACAACCACCGGTAATGAAGGGCAGAGTGAGACGGGTAATGAAGGGCAGAGTGAGACGTCAGAGCATCACAGGCACTGATTTCTCTCTCCCACCTAGCCTCCAGTAGACTTTATTTTCTTGTCCAATTAGATATTATCAGAGGTTGTGTGTAGAATTTCATACATTCTCAACAGGTCCATTACTTAACAGGTCTATAAACAGTAGTTAAGAACTTTTAGTAAATGGAACCATGATCCCCAGATCAACTGGTCCAGGAAAGCATGTTGAACTTCTCAATGGAATCACCCTGCATCCAATTGCTGGCTTGCCTTTGAAGTTAGCCGGGTCGGTCCTGGTCGGTCCCTGGATGGAAGACCAGATGTTACTGGAAGTGGTGTTGGAGGTCCCGTAGGGGGAACTCTTCCCTCTGGTCTAAGGAGATTCCAATGCCCCAGGGCAGTGAAGGGGACATTGCCCTTTGTAGGGTGCCGTCTTTCGGATGGGACGTTAAAATGGGTGTCCTGACTCTCTGTGGTCTATAAAGATCCCATGGCACTTATCGTAAGAGTGTTAACCCCGGGGTCCTGGCTAAATTCCCAATCTGCTGCTCATACCATCATGGCCACCATTCATCCCCAGACCTGCTAACTACTGCTCCAATAAGGGTTAACCCTTTTAGGAGGATCATAACAGGCCTACTTAGGCAAGGTTCGTTACACTATCCCCTCTGTTGGGGAGGGCGTGTCCCCACGCTTCTCTATACCAAGTACCTAGCTCTTTACTATACCAAGTCCCTCAAGTCTGCACATCTCCCCAATAGCCCCCAAGGCACCATCCCACTGCTGCCACCAACGTATAGATTTTTGCAAACCACAACAGTGTAACGCCCCTTGCAGGTCTCAAACCCTGGTCTCCCTGTCCGTAGGCAGACCTTCTAACCACTGCTCCAATAAGGGTTAAGGGGGTAATTGTAACAAGCCTACCTATGCAAGGTTTTACACCACTTATAGAGACCACTTAATCCTCAGATTTCATCAAACACTGGCAAACACCTTACTTAGTTTCGTGCTCATCATCATCCTCCTGCTCCTTACTTGATAGATACTGTCCTTACAGGGACGAAACCAGGTTTTGAGTTGTAGTGAGGTTCGGAAGTGTCCCCAGCCACTATCACCTTGGCTGCTGTAGGTTCATTCACCTCAGTCCATCTATAAACACATAGCCTATTAGCCATACAATTGTAGTGTTCTACTCCTGAAAGGGGTGGAAATATGATAAATGATTCACACTGACATGTAGCATCAGCGACCATACAAAAACCTATGACATTTTTAGAACTGTATTTTTTGCATTTTGATTGCATTTTATTGTAGGCCTATAGGGAAGATAGGCCATGTGGAGATGTTCATATTAAAACTATCTTCTTTCTTTTTTGTTCCTAACTTGTTTGATAAGATAAGTACAGATTTTCTCAGGGGATCCTACATGGGGCCCCGACCCCAAGTTTGGGAACCACTGTACTAACCTCTTTCTCTCTGCTTGCTTCCTCTCTCTGTCTCCTCTGCTTCCTCCTGCATGCATTGCAGCCTGCCTCAGCCTCATCAACACTGAGCTCTACATCACTGTCTGTCTCAGTAGCCTACTCTCTGTAAAGCAAAGTTATTATGCTGAACAAAAATAGAAATGCCACATGCAACAATTTCAAAGATTTTACTGAGTTACAGTTCATATAAGGAAATCAGACAATTGAAATAAATTCATTACTCCCTAATCTATGGATTTCTCATGACTGGGCAGGGGTGCAGCCAGGCCCAGCTAATCAGAATGAGTTTTTCCTCACAAAATGGCTTTATTACAGAAATAATTACTCCTCACCTGTGTAATAATCATGCTGTTTAATCAGCTTCTTGATATCCCACACCTGTCAGGTGGTTAGATTATCTTGGCAAAGGAGAAATGCTCACTGACAGGGATGTAAACAAATTTGTGCACAACATCTGAGAGAAATAAGCTTTTTGTGTGTATGGAACATTTCTGGGATTTTTTATTTCAGCTCATGAAACATGGGACCAACACTTTACATGTTGCGTTTATATTTTTGTTCAGTGTATGAGAACTTAGTAGTGTATTTTTTACTCCTGCTCCGTTTAAAGTTGGCTTCTTATTTCATCCTTCTAGCTGGTTACTAAGTAATACTAGACAGAGCCCTTGAACTTTACTGCAATAGAAGTCTCTGCAGGCAGCTGGCCACCTGACTGACTGACATATTATCTATAAGCGACTATGTACCAGTTGCACACTCATTCTCCGAGTCGGTTTTTGTTTGTTTGGGTAATGTCTGTAGACACGACAGGAGTCGCTGGACGGTTTTAACATTGCAAACATCTCGCAAACACACTGTCAGCAGCGTCTCAAGTTGCCTTTTTGAGCCAACTACGAGCTGGGGTAGTTTGTTCACGTAGGCCCTCGACCTGAGTTAGCTGTTTGAGAGGGTGGTGAATGTGCTGCTAAAAAGGCAAATCCGGGAGGGAAATTTGGCGGATGCAGGCGTACATAACGAACAAACCACTGTTCATGATTCCACTCTTAGAACTCAGTCAGATCAAGAATATAAGCATTCTGAGCTTTGATCAACGCTATGAGCAGTATTTAGATTTTGACCAGTAATTGATTTTCTTTATTGTGTCCTATGTAGTTACTTACGGCCAGTGGCGATTTTAGCATGTAAATCTTGGTGGGGCAAACTCCCCAAAAATGTTTTTGCTGCATGCCAGCAAAGCCACTACACTACACAACACAACACTAAACAATACATTAATTGCACTATAACGGTGACAAACGGTGCCCACAAACTGTTAGGGCCTACATAAAGCTGGCCCAACAGCAGAGCTTTCTTTTCAGCACCATGGAGTGAATTCTTACCACTGCTACACCTGGCTATCAGAGGAGGCTTGTCTGGCAGCGAAACAATTCATTCAGCCTCAGTTACTGCCTTTTAAAAAACATAGCTGATACGGCTGACTTGCTTAAACAAATGTGGTTTCTACTGACAATTGAGATGTACAAACTATGGCATAAGGGGACGACGAGCAGATAAGAGGCAATCCATAATTTCGATTAAGACATTAATAAGCGAGCTAGGATGGACGTAGTCAAGATAACTATTTGTTCAGCACTTTTGAAATGTACAGCGACCGAATTCAGAACATGGGCCGTTCTTACAGTATTCTCCCTGTACACCAAGTCAGAACCGTAGGATAAATAAAGGGGGCATATCAGCAGACAATGATGGCTCTTACAATATTCGATGATGACATTTCTCTAAAACAGGCTATAGGCTACATGTGCACCACCAAGTCAGAATAGTAAGCGAAATTAAGAGGGGAAAATAGACCAAATTATTATGGTGAGGCACATGGGCTACTAACAGTTTACTACACAACATACACTTAGTATTACTTTCTTAGCTACAGTATACATATGTCCCTGGCATATTACATCATTTATGCAGCAGCTTTGCTGTCCTCTTTTGATCTTAAAGGGCGCATAAGTCACTGTATGGTTTGTACTGTTCATCCACAGTGGTGCGTCTTGACAGGAACTTGAGAAGGACGGAGGGTGGGAGAAGAAGAGTTACCCAGAGAAGGAGGGATACAGCGGGGCTTAGGTTTCAGCATCATGCCCTCTTAATTCCCACATAATCACAGGAAGAGTGGCGGTAGCACTTTCGCTACATGTCTCCGGTAGCCATGCATTATTCACCAGGTCATCCCTGACATGTCACCATAAGCACACGAGGTAATCTTATTAACAGTGAAGGATGAAGCTAAATAGTTTCCTCATGATGCATGTTGTGTGAGTGAATGTACGAGTGCATTGTGTATTCTTTGTTTAGTTTTCATTTTCAGTTTCTAGTTTTATTAGTCGTATGTATGGGATTCGCATGATATACATTGTCCAACGAAATGCTTAATTGCAGGTTCCTTCTTGACAATGCAACAACAATAATAAATAATACAAGATAAGAATACGAACAAAGAAAAAAGGCAGTAGCATAGAATAAACATTTTAGCATAAGTATAATACAGTATAAAGTATAATTACATGTGTATTGGGGAAGGGGAGATGGGGGGGGGGGGGGGGGGAGTGTATAAATTGAGCAGTATAATAAGAGTCTGGTAGCAGTAGTTGTGATGTGTATGTGTGTAGCATGAGAGAGAGAGAGAGAGTGTGTGTGTGTGTGTGTTAGCAACAAGAGCAGAAATGCATTTTGAGATATGTTACAGTAATCTTACAATGGCATGAACTATTTCTGTCCAAGATGTCCAAGATGTCCAAGATGTCCAATATATATCACTAATGGTTATGTTGCAACCCTCATTCTTTCCAGACCAATTCCATCTTCACTTTAGCAATATTACCATGTCTAGAGGCCATGACATTATTTGTATAGCACGACCTTGTTGTTTCACTTTCCCATCAAGCTTACTTAAGACTTCATTGAATTTTAATGAGAACTGGCCTTTATTTCAGCATTTGTGCTCTGGTTTCGAATTTCATGGTCAGAGTTATGTACAATACATGATGGAATATATTGGTGTGAGTTTTCCAACTGTTTGTCCAAACTAATTATTGCTGCAAAACAGGTGACTAATGGTTATAATGCACCCATTAAGTCATTCAGTTGGAATTTATGTGTGTGACCATAAGTGCTTGTGTGTGCGTGTGGGTCTGTGTACTGTATCTCTGTGTCTACACACATGCTGTTAGTCATATGAACTGATGTTCTTTTATTGACATCCCTTTTGTACCCCTTTATTGTCCCTTTAGATTAGGTCTTTCTCCTTCAGGTTTAAAGATGATCATCTCTGGGTAATATCATTGGTGGTTGTCAGGGAAACAGCCAGTCTAGTAGCCCAAACACTGGTGTAACTGTCAGAGTATGTGAGTGCCTGCACAGGTGTGATGGCTATCTGCTTAGCTGAGGTCTCCATGGCCTGGGAGGGAGAGAGCAGGCTGACCCCAAGGAGATAATAAGAGGACAACACTCAGGCAAAATGCCTTCTCAGAAGAAAAATGACATTGCAATTAAAATGGAAGATGGTGGGTAGGATTTATTCTGTTCCCTTTCCAGAGTGGAACTGTTTCTTATTTTGGATTTCTCTTGAATACTAAAGAATATTCAGTTCTTCACCTTCTTTGAGGTGTTTGTGGTAAATATGGAAGTAGCACATAGATGTACTACTAGATGTTCTATAACATGTAACAGAATCCATACTGTTAAACCATAAAGGAACAGTAAGATTATGGGATTTTTGTTGGTTCAAAGACTAAATACAATATTTGTGGATATTCTGAATGACTGTGGTGTTGCATCACAATGTTGTTGTTGTTTAATTTATAGTGGGAATTGAAATCGATGGGGAGTTAGACAGTGGGAGTGAGGGTAAGTCATAAGATGGAGAAAGTGTTTGATGTGTGTGCTTACTTCCTGCGAGTGGGTGTATGTGTATTTATACATCTTGATCTCACAAGCTCACTTTTGCTTGTTGATGTTGAAAAATATATTATTTTGAAAAATATTCCAAAGGGGAGACACACCTCGTCAAAATTATGAAATGTACTAGTCAAAATTATGGGACATACATCAAAAAAGGAAGTGGGAGGCTAGCTACCTGCCTGACTTATATGTTTGTTTATTTGTTCAGGTTTGAATGCAATCTATGGATCTATGAAGCCTTTGTCTGTCTGTTAATATTTGTGTGAAATATCTAAGTGAGTGTGTGTGTATCGTGTGTGAAATGTGTGTGTGTGTGTCTCAGATGAGGCCAGGCGGAGAGACAGAAACAGGAAAGCCAGAGCCTCTCCACGAGCCGGGAGACGGAAGGGCAAACAGGCCACCAGTGAGGACGAAGACGAAGAGGAAGATCAGGACAAGGCACGGAGGAAGAGGGCTCGTAAGAAGAAAGCCAGGACCCAGGACAGCGAGGAAGAGGAGGAGGAAGACGACAGAAGCGTCAAGCGGAAGGGCACAAAGGCTCCGGGCAGAAAGAAAAAGGCAGTCAAGGAAGAGAGCGAGGAGGAGAGCGAGGAGGAACAAGGAAAGAAAAAGAAAGGCAGAAAAGTGACTAGCAAGAAGGGGAAAGACGAGCAGAACAAGGAGAAGAAGGGCGATGCCAAAGGGAAAGGGGGGAAGGACAAGAAAAAGAAGAATGGAAAGGACAGCAGGTGCAGTATCCTTTGACAGGGCCATCTCTCTCACATGCAGTACCAGTCAAAAGTTTGGACACACCTACTCATTCAAGGGTTTTTCTTTATTTTGACTATTTTCTATGTTGTAGAATAATAGTGAAAACATCCAAACTATGAAATAACACATATGGAATCATGTAGTAACCAAAAAAGTGTTAAACAAATCAAAATATATTTTAGATTTTAGATTCTTCAAAGTAGTCACCCTTTGCCTTGATGACAGCTTTGCACACTCTTGGCATTCCCTCAACCAGCTTCACCTGGAATGCTTTTCCAACAGTCTTGAAGGAGTTCCCACATATGCTGAGCACTTGTTGGCTGCTTTTCCTTCACTCTGCGGTCCAACTCATCCCAAATCATCTCAATTTGGTTGAGGTCGGGTGATTGTGGAGGCCAGGTCATCTGATGTAGCACTCCATCACTCTCCTTCTTGGTCAAATAGCCCTTACTCAGCCTGGAGGTGTGTTGGGTCATCGTCCTGTTGAAAAACAAATATAGTCCCACTAAGCGCAAACCAGATGGGATGGCGTATCGCTGCAGAATGCTGTGGTAGCCATGCTGGTTAAGTGTGCCTTGAATTCTAAATAAATCACAGACAGTGTCACCAGCAAAGCACCCCCACACAATCACACCTCCTCTTCCATGATTCACGGTGGGAACCACACATGCGGAGATCATCCATTCACCTACTCTGCGTCTCACAAAGATATGCGGTTGGAACCAAAAATCTCAAATTTGGACTCATCAGACAAAGGACAGATTTCCACCGGTCTTATGTCCATTGCTCGTGTTTCTTGGCCCAAGCAAGTCTCTTCTTCTTATTGGTGTCCTTTAGTAGTGGTTTCTTTGCAGCAATTCGACCATGAAGGCCTGATTCACGCAGTCTCTTCTGAACAGTTGATGTGTCAGGCAAAGGGTGTCTGTTACTTGAACTCTGTGAAGCATTTATTTGGGCTGCAAAATCTGAGGCTGGTAACTCTAACGAACTTATCCTCTGCAGCAGAGGTAACTCTGGGTCTTCCTTTCCTGTGGCGGTCCTCATGAGAGCCAGTTTCATCATAGTGCTTGATGGTTTTTGCAACTGCACTTGAAGAAACTTTCAAAGTTCTTGAGATTTTCCGTATTGACTGACCTTCATGTCTTAAAGTAATGATGGACTGTCATTTCTCTTTGATTATTTGAGCAGTTTTTGCCATAAAATTATAAATAAATAAATATAAATAATATGCCATTTAGCAGACGCTTTTATCCAAAGCGACTTACAGTCATGCGTGCATACATTTTTGTGTATGGGTGGTCCCGGGGATCGAACCCACTACCTTGGCGTTACAAGCGCCGTGCTCTACCAGCTGAGCAACAGAGGACCACAAATTGACTTGGTCTTTAACCAAATAGGGCTATCTTCTGTATACCACCCCTACCTTGTCACAACACAACTGATTGGCTCAAATGCATTAAGAAGGAAATAAATTCCACAAATTAACTTTTAAGAAGGCACACCTGTTAATTGAAATGCATTCCAGGTGACTACATCATGAAGCTGGTTGAGAGAATGCCAAGAGTGTGCAAAGCTGTCATCAAGGCAAAGGGTGGCTACTTTGAAGAATATAAAATATAAAATACATTTTGATTTGTTTGACACTTTTTTGGTTACTATATGATTCCATATGTGTTATTTTATAGTTTTGATGTCTTCACTATTATTCTACAATGTAGAAAATAGTAAAAATAAAGAAACACACTTGAATGAGTAGGTGTGTCCAAACTTTTGACTGGTAGTGTATGAGGGAAGACTCTGACAGACTGTCTTGGTATATGCCCCTTCATTGTATTGAGTTATTGGTTCAGGGAGTTATGAAATTGGGTTATAGGGTTGCGCTAAAGTGTTACAAAACACTACAACAATGACCCAAGCTCACTATTTGGCAAGCGCCAAAACAAATACATTTCACACAGTGAATGATCCTATAACGTCAGGTAACGTTCCGATTGAGTCCTAATTGAGTCCAATGGTTTCCAGCTAACGTTAGCATGACAACGTCCCTGACATATTTTTTAAATGTCCCCAGAAAACAGTATTAATAAGCATTAGTAGAAGGACATGCTGTAATGGTTATAAGAACGTTTGGGGAAATTATCCAATTATGTTTGTTTTTTACATTTATAGAATGTGTTAACTAAACGTTCATGGTGAAATCGCTATAGCCATGTGATGGGGACATCCATGGGAACCTTGGTTAAAACCATGTCAAACCATCAACATTATCAAAATGTCCCCACTAAAGTTTTAAATAAATCACAGACAGTGTCACCAGGGTTGTAGTGGTATTTGTGCTTGCTCAAACATGGGGTAGTGTTGGGTCATAGCATTGAGTTGAGGGATAACATGGTCAGAATGGGGTTGGAGTTAAAGCTAGATTCCTTAATTGAAACAATAACAAAGCGTTACCCCGCCTCTGTTTCGCTAACCTTAATCTCAGTCTCCTAATCTGCCACGTTAACTATCCTAACCTGCTTTGTAAATTCTTCTAACCTGCTACAAAAAAGTCACTTCCGGTTGTAGTTGTACTCCCCCTAGTCAGAACCCAAATTCATAGACAGAGCTATGGATGCAAGGACTGACCATCTATGATATCACAATTATAGTTTTGATCATGTTTTGAGGCTATACAGTGTTTGTTTACATTTATATTGTTTCCATTGTTTCTACACCTTGATTGGAGTCCACCTGTGGTAAATTCAATTGATTGGACATGATTTGGAAAGGCACACACCTGTCTATATAACATCACACAGTTGACAGTGCATGTCAGAGCAAAAATCAAGCCATGAGGTCGAAGGAATTATCCGTAGAGCTCCGAGACAGGATTGTGTCGAGGCACAGATCTTGAGACACGTACGGAAAAATGTCTGCAGCATTGAAGGTCCCCAAGAACACAGTGGCCTCCATCATTCTTAAATGGTAGAAGTTTGGAACCACCAAGACTCTTCCTAGAGCTGGCCGCCCGGCCAAACTGACCAATCGGGGGAGAAGGGCCTTGGTCAAGGAGGTGACCAAGAACCCGATGGTCACTCTGACAGAGCTCCAGAGTTCCTCTGTGGAGATGGGAGAACCTTCCAGAAGGACAACCATCTCTGCAGCACTCCACCAATCAGGCTTTTATAGTAGAGTGGCCAGACTGAAGCTCCTCCTCAGTATAAGGCACATGACAGTCGCTTGGAGTTTGCCAAAAGCCACCTAAAGACTCTCGGACCATGAGAAACCAGATTCTCTGATCTGATGAAACCAAGATTGAACTCTTTGGCCTGAATGCCAAGCGTCACGTCTGGAGGAAACCTGGCACCATCCCTACGGTGAAGCATGGTGGTGGCAGCATCATGCTGTGGGGATGTTTTTCAGCGGCAGGGACTGGGAGACTAGTCAGGATGGAGGCAAAGATGAACGGAGCAAAGTACAGAGAGATCCTTGATGAAAACCTGCTCCAGAGCACTCAGGACCTCAGACTGGGGCGAACGTTCACCTTCCAACAGGACAACGACCCTAAGCACACAGCCAAGACAACGCAGGACAAGTCTCTGAATGTCCTTGAGTGGCCCAGCCAGAGCCCATTTTGAACCCAATCGAACATCTCTGGAGAGACCTGAAAATAGCTGTGCAGCGACATCCCCATCCAACCTGACAGAGCTTGAGAGGATCTGCAGAGAAGAATGGGTGAAACTCCCCAAATACAGGTGTGCCAAGCTTGTAGCGTCATACCCAAGAAGACTCGAGGCTGTAATCACTGCCAAAGGTGTTTCAACAAAGTACTGAGTAAAGGGTCTGAATACTTATGTAAATGTGATATTTCAGTAAAAGAAAACATTTTACATTTGCTAAAATTTCTAAAAACTATTTTTTTCTTTGTCATTATGGGTTATTGTGTGTAGATTGATGATGGAAAAAAACAATTTAATCAATTTTAGAATAAGGCTGTAACGTAACAAAATGTGGAAAAAGTCAAGGGGTCTGAATTCTTTCCGAAGTTATATTCTTCAAGAAACAACGGGTAAACATAAATAATTTATAAGTCCAAAAATTGATGTAGCAACTAAGGATTCTAGCTTTAATGTCTGGTTGTTTCAATGGGTGGACAAGTTTACTTGATTATTCTAGGATATGTCTGTCATTTGACTTGCATACTGTATACCTCCTCTGGTCCCCTCATTTCTCGCTCTGTTCTCATTTTGTATTTTCTATTGGTCTGCCAGATGCTTTTCAACATTATGTCCAAAGTCCTTCTGAGTTTGTACCATGATAATGCACTGTGTAAAGCCACTGGCCACCCCAACTAGAACTCTACTCTGGTTGACACATGGTTGACCCTGACTTGACCCCTGGCACTTGGTGACAGCTCTTTCTTCTGACAGCTCTTCTTCTTCGGGCGAGTCAGGGGACGAGAATTCTCTGTCAGAGGGGGAGATGGCTTCTCTTAAGGAGGAGGTAGATGAGAAGAAGAAGCTGATAGCCACTCTCAGGAACAAACCGTGGCGCATGAAGAGGAGGCTCAAACTCCTCAAGTAATTTCATATTACATGTGCATTCCTCTGACGATTTCCCATTGGCTGATTGTCTTCATGACTCATAGGGACTTGCTCTTGCTGTGCTGTTTTTCTCTTTTCTATACTACTTTATACCGTCACTTCCCACTGGGCACAGATGTCAATTCAACGTCTATTCCATGTTGGTTCAATGTAATTTTATTGAAATGACGTGTAAACAACGTTGATTCAACCAGTGTGTGCCCAGTGTGTTATGTATCATCTTATTTGTGATGTTATCTTTTTGTTTGTTTAATTTAATTAAAGCATAATTGTGTCTGATGCTACATTGCCTGATACATTTTCCTATTTTTTGAGTGTGTGTGAAATCCTTTAAACTACTTTGTGGAACGACAAAGTAGTTAGATTGTCCATCACCCTTTGAACTATTTAGGAGTTTCGGGAATTGGCTTTGCTAATTGATGTTCTTTGAATTATTTTATTTTTTGACAGTTTCTCACTTGTGTCTCCACAATGAGAGTGTATCTCCACTGACCAGTATTTATCTGTCATTCACTCTTAAAAGGGTTCTACCCAGAACCATTCAAAGTTCTTCAGTTTTTCCCAGTAGAAGATCCCTTTTATGGTTCCAGGTAGATCCTTTTAACTTAACACAAAACACTTTAAAACTTGTTTTTTTCAAACAGTGTTGGGTTACATTTAAAACAAACAAGGCCTGCTGGACTTGTGCCCTCTGGGACCTGTGTTGTAGAAACACTGTATTCCATCCAGTGTCATGAGCTGGCAGTCACTTACAGGTCAGGACACAAGCACTGGTACAGTATTAAGACAGATGAGACGCCTTGACTTTTTCATGAGCTCAACACTGTCTAATGCATGCAGTTGTAGCTGCCTGCAGCTTGCCAATCCCCTCTCATCACTGGTCTTTCCAGGTTGATTATCTTTCATCACATGCCCTCCTCCACATTTACCTGACTAGTAATTTACAGTCTTGATTAATTGATTGGTTGTTTTCTCATCTACTTAATTTAATCATGACTAATTCACCCATTTAAAATTTGAAAAGTTGATTCATTGGTTGGCGGTTCATCAAACCAGTGATTTATATGTTTTTTTTGTTGGTTGACGGGTCATCCTTTTTTATGGGTTGGAATTGTAGGGAATGCCAGGCGTTTGTGGAGAGGTTTGAGGGGGCTCTAGGAAAGGGCAAAGGGAGGAAGCTCTATGCCTACAAAGTCATGATGGCTAAGGTAACTTTTCCTAGTCCAAGTGTTAACTTTACAACAAAGTTCACACTCTCGAAGATTAGTTATGTGCTATTGAATCATTATGAATACTTCACGCAATTATGCATTTATATACATTTAGACTTAAGTTATAAGGCGCATTAAATACTACTTTTAATCATAAGTGCATCATTAGCTTAATGATTTGTCATTTCCATAATGTCATTAGCATAATGTTTGTTGCCCTCATCAGTTACAACCTGATATGTTAGTCAGAAACTATACTTCTGTGATAAAAATATTCTTTCATAACCTTTTTTTTCTTCTTCAGAAAATGATCAAGTTCAACCGTGACTTTGACAATTTCAAAACAGCCTGTATTCCGTGGGAAAGAAAGATAAAAGAGGTTGAGAGTGGGTACCGTTATTTAAAGCTATTTGAGTTACTGTCTTGTTCATGTCAAGTAGTTTTATCTATTCATCATGTAATTTTAACCCTCAGGTCACTTTGGGTCATCTGTGGCTTCCTACTTCATCTTCTTGCGGTGGATGTACGGTCTAAACCTGGTCCTGTTTGCGTTCATGTTTGGTCTTGTGGTTCTCCCAGAGGTGAGCAGCTTTTACCTTAACCAGAGTCCATTGTTTTGCAATATTTTTGCAGTACATTTGGTCAGCATATGGAGAGATATCGAAGGAGGACTCACTGTCTCATTCTCCCAATCTTATCCCCACTTCCCTCTCTTTTTGTCTCTCTTTTCCTACTGTCCGGAGGTGATGATGGGTCTTCCGTATGGGTCTATTCCCAGAAAAACTGTTCCCAGAGCGGAGCAGGACAGAGCCATGGACATCTCTGTCCTCCTTGATTTTGGTGTGAGGATCTTGGAGTGACTTACTACTTCCTTTGGAGTGACACACTTCCTTCCAAACAATTGCCTTGTGATGTTACATTTAGAAACCTTGTTTGGACTTAAACTACTTTAAGTTCAGGTTTATTTCACATGATTACACGTATGAAAAAACATACATAAAATGTGAAAATAGGATTTTAAGACATAAGGTGTCATACATGTTCATGAATAGCTGCATCATAATGCATTGTAATTGCAGGCTTTAAGTTAAGTGTTACACATTTTCAGTATTACTACATGGCATTTAGCAGATGTTTTTAGCTAAAGCAACTTACAGTCATACATTTTACGTAGTAGTGGTCCTGGGAATTTAACCCACTACCCTGGCGTAACAAGCACCATGTTATACCAACTGAGCTACAATGGGCCATGTCAGGATAACTGCCAAGACCCTGCCCAGTCTTAATGTTAGTTAAGGCAGTTGCGGCCTGGGCATTGCTATCTTATCTCAGTGCCAGTAACATCGACTGAAAACAGGCAGCAATGAAAAGTAAGTGGAGGAAGTTGTCCAAATGAACACAACTCTGTATTTTACTATTTTCTGATGGAGCCTTGATAAATGATCCAGTGGGTTGGTTTTGCAGGCAGTTTGGTTGGTTGTGTTCTCCCTGTATTTCAGATCTCTGTTGGCTGGTAATGACAGAGGTGTTGCTGATTCGAATATTAAACGCAGACAATGTTATGCCCAGCAGTTGATGAAAGGAATCCAATCATATCCACCACACAATAGCAGAGTCCTGCCAACTATACATAGACCAGTGTATAACCATCTGATCCTGCCATTCTTTGATTGGGTTGTCGTATGCCTATGTGCTTGGTTTGCTTGTGTGTATGTGCGCAGGGCTGGCCCTAGGCATAACAACCTGTCACTATCATTTTAGCCTACATCAGCTTTCTTTGAGATGAATTGCTTTCATATAAACATTATTATTTTTGTTAATTTCAACAGGGTTACTGCAAGTACTCTATTCTCTTCTATGGTTTCTATAATGACGAGCGCACCATCGGAGTCCTCCAGTTCAGACTGCCACTGTCCTACCTACTAGTTGGTGTAGGCATCTTTGGCTACAGCCTGATGGTGGTCATTAGAACGTGGGTAAAACACACACACACGAACACACACATGAACACACACATGTGCACACAGTAAATATATACTAATCCACATACACACACCGCATCTAAAATATTGATGCCAGCAACCCTCCCATTGCCAGCTCACTCCCTCTGCATTTTTCCAGTCAGCACTCGGATTCGAACGGCAACCCTCCAGTTACTTGCCCACATCTCTAAAATCAAGCCCCCCCAGTACAGTGTATATCACACCCATCTTCTGTGTTCCTCAGGATGGCCCGTAACTCAGACGAGGGAGGAGACGGTGGGGACGACGGACAGTTCACCTTCGCCTTTAAGATGTTCACCAGCTGGGATTACCTCATCGGCAACCCTGAGACAGCCGACAACAAGTATGCCTCCATCACCACCAGCTTTAAGGTAAACACAGCAGAAGCTAACTCTAAAATGACCACTTTTATCATTCTTTTCTGAAAGATGACTTGTGATACAAATGTAAAAATCATGTCAAACATCTTCCTCGCATTGAAGTTTATATGTGAAAATTGCCAAAACAATCTGAGATACCTAAAATATTTTTGGCCTGTCCTGGCGTGGAATCGCCCCTTATCATTGTTCTGCAAATATCCATTCTCCTGCTCTTATCTTCAATCTCCCAAGAATCATATGCACGTAAAAAGGTACTACACGTATGAGCCTACACGCTTACTATCTTCAAACACAGTATCCTCTGTGTTTCTCACTGACCGGACTGTTCTTGGTAGGAATCCATAGTAGACGAACAGGAGAACCAGAAGGATGAGAACATCCACTTGCGGAGGTTCCTGCGGGTTCTAGCCAACCTTTTCATCATCTGCAGCCTGGGGGGCAGCGGCTTCCTCATCTATTTTGTGGTCAAGAGGTCTCAGGAGTTTGCCAACCTAGATCAGGATGAGCTCTCCTGGTTTGAAAAGAATGAGGCAGGTTCAATTGTTTTGATCAGATACAGTGCCTTGCAAAAGTATAAAGTATTCAGCCCATTTGTTCAGGCAAGTCTAAATTAGTTCAGGAGCAAAATTTGGCTTAACAAATTAACATAAGTTACTTGGACTCATACTGTGTGACATAATAGGGGTTGATAGGGTTTTTGAATGACTAACCTTTCCTCTGTCCCCCATAAATACAACATCTGTAAGGTCCCTCAGTCAAGTATTGAATTTCAATCACAGATTCAACTACAAAGACCAGGGAGCTTTTCTGAAACCCTCATAAAGAAGGGCAATGATTGGTAGATGGGTAACAATAACAAATCAGACATTAAATATATTTTTAAGCATGGTCAATTTAATAATTATGCTGTGGATTATGTAATAAACCATCCAGACACATCAAAGATACAGTCGTCCTTCTGAACTGAGCTGCTTGACAGGAATAAAAATGCTCAAGGATGTTACCATGAGGCCATTGGTGATTTTAAAGAAGATACAGAGTTCAATGGCTGTGATCAGAGAACTCCACAACAATGACCTAAATGAGTGAAAAGAAGAATACAAATATTCCAAAACATGCATCTTGAATGCAACAAGGCACTAAAGTAATACTGCAAAATAACATAGCAAAGGAATACACTTTTTGGCATAAATGCAAATCCAACACAACACATCACTGAGTAACTGCCTCCTTAATTTCAAGTATGGCGGTGGCTGCATTATGGTATGGGTATACTTGACATCAGCAAATACTGGGGAGTTTTTCAGGAAAACAATAAATACGGTGGAGCTAAGCACAGGATTTTTTTCCCCACTTTGACATTACAGAGTATTTAGTGTAGATTGTTGACAAAAAAATTACAATCCATTTTTATCCCACTTTGTAACACAATAAAATGTGAAGAAATCCAAGGGGTCTGAATACTTTTGCAAGGCACTGTACATGCTGTGTTATGGTTCATCTAGTCAAATGGAGTGAGCCAGAAATGTACATTTTGTGGTGGTCCTGTTTTCTTCAGTCTTAGAAAAAAAGGTGCTATCTAGAACCGATAGGTGAACCCTTTGAATAACCCTTTTTGGTTCGAGGTAGAACCCTTTTGGGTCCCATGTAGAACCCTTTCCCAGAGGGTTCTACATGGAACCCAAGAGGGTTATACCTGAAATCAAAAAGGGTTCTACATGGAACCAAAAAGGGTTCAACTATGGGAACAGATGAAAAACCTTTTGGAACCCTTTTTTCTAAAAGTGTAATTATAAAATGTATGCAAAATATATCATACCATAAAGGGTAACACTTCTTTTTATGGGGTCCTTATTACAGTGTAATTACATGTGTAATTACACAAAAAAGTATTGTAGTTACTTGTAATAAATCAAAGTTACATTCCAATAAAAAAATTTAACTGGTGGTAAATGCTGTCTGTAATTACAGACGTGTAACATCAAATGCTTGTTACCGTGCTTGTTTACAAATGTGCAAGTTTCCACTAAATTCACCAATTTCATGTTTTTCTTCTTCTCAGCTGCATCCGATTCTAGGTGTTACACAGGATTTAGCTAGTTAAAATGAAGTGAATCTTGAGGGGTACTTATTGTAATGAATACGTATATAGTACATTAACCATCCTGACAACCTGGCCGTTATTTTAAGGCTTCCGGAAGTGCCATCCAAGTGGGAGGATAAACACATTAGTACATCACAGAGTACATGTAATATGTGACCGACCTGGATTGTTTCGGTCTTATGTAGCAAAATTTGAAATGGAGTTTTTTACATTGGATAGATAGTAGAGACTCAGAGATAGAAAATGGTATAGCATACACTACAGCTGAGGAACAATGTGAAAGTAATTCTGTTTTGAAAGTTGACAAACTTGTAACCCCACTTTTGTAAAAATGACTCTTGTCGTTGTCGTTATGAAAAACTATAAACACAAAAACGACAGGTTGCATGACATCAGCAGCCTGGTGGTCAAAAATAGCATAACTGATGTATATTAACACCAATAAACCCATCTGTTTTAAAATGAATATAGTATATGTCAATCTAGCAAACCAGGCAACTAAAAGCACATTTCTAAAAAATGTTTTGGTTCATTTCTAGCTTGTTAATTAGCTAGCTAACATTAAGTTAGCTGGCTAGCTAGTTCAAATAATGGCCATATCATATATCTAACAACAAACCTGCCAAGAGAGGGCCGCCCACCAAAACTCACGAACCAGGCAAGGAGGGCATTAATCAGAGAAGCAACAAAGAGACCAAAGATAACCCTGAAGGTGCTTCAATGCTCCACTGCGGAGATTGGAGTATCTGTCCATAGGACCACTTTAAGCCAAACACTCCACAGAGCTGGGTTTTACGGAAGAGTGGCCAGAAAAAAAGCCATTGCTTATGAATAAAATAAGCAAACACGTTTGGTGTTTGCCAAAAGCAATGTGGGAGACTCCCCAAACATATGGAAGAAGGGGCTCTGGTCAGATGAGACTAAAATTGAGCTTTTTGGCCATCAAGGAAAGCGCTATGTCTGGCGCAAACCTAACACCTCTCATCACACCGAGAACACCATCCCCACAGTGAAGTGTGGTGGTGGCAGCATCATGCTGTGGGGATGTTTTTCATTGGCAGGGACTGGGAAACTGGTCATAATTGAAGGAAGTATGGATGGTGCTAAATACAGGGAAATTCTTGAGGGAAACCTCTTTCAGTCTTCCAGAGATTTGAGACTGGGATGGAGGTTCACCTTCCAGCAGGACAATGACCCTAAGCATACTGCTAAAGCAACACTTGAGTTGTTTAAGGGGAAATATTGAAATGTCTTGGAATGGCATAGTCAAAGCCCAGACCTCAATCCAATTGAGAATCTGTGGTATGACTTAAAGATTGCTGTACACCAGCGGAACCCATCCAACTTGCCTTGAAGAATGGGCAAAAATCCCAGTGGCTAGCTGTGCCAAGCTTATAGAGACATACCCCAAGATTCTTGCAGCTGTAATTGCTGCAAAAGGTGGCTCTACAAAGTATTGACTTTGGGGGGGGTGAATAGTTATGCACGCTCAAGTTTTCAGTTTTTTTGTCTTATTTCTTGTTTGTTTCACAATGAATTTTTTTTTGCATCTTCAAAGTGGTAGGCATTTTGTGTAACAAAATAGGAAAAATGCCAAGGGGGGTGAATACTTTCGCAAGCCACTGTAGCTAGCTAGCTAGTTAAATAATGTACCAAAATCCCAACTCATAACGTTACTACCCTGCATGAATCTGCTGGTATCTAAAGCTAACCAACTAGCTAGGTTAATTGTTAGCTAGCTATGTTATAGGCAGAATCGGGCTACATGTCAGCCCATCTGTTATCTCAGCCAATCATGGCAAGCGGGAAGGTTCCTGTCTTTTTCTGTGGTTAAATCAACTAGGCTCATATTTAACAATTGTATTCGTATTTACAGATGGCATACACGTTTGTTATTAAGGCACATGAAAGTTCACATGTTCCAGAAGGTAGTTCTGCCCAAAAAGGAATTTTGATTAAAAAGTAAAGTAGTGACGCACGTATTTTCCTGAAACGAGTCACATATCTGCCTAAGTACAATGTAATTAATAGGTGTTACACAGGATTTAGCTAGTTAAAATGAAGTGTATCTTCAGGGGTACATACTTGTAATTATTGTGTACATACATAGTATGTTACCTACATACATAACCGGTCAAAAGTTTTAGAACACCTACTCATGCAAGTTTTATTTTATTTTTATTTTTACTATTTTCTACATTGTAGAATAATAGTGAAGACATCAAAATGATGAAATAACACATATGGAATCATGTAGTAACCAAAAAAGTTTTTAAAAAATCAAAATATGTTTTTTATTTGAGATTCTTCTAATAGCCACCCTTTGCCTTGATGACAGCTTTGCAAACTCTTGGCATTCTCTCAACTAGCTTCACCTGGAATGCTTCTCCATCAGTCTTGAAGGAGTTCCCACATATGCTGAGCACTTGTTGGCTGCTTTTCCTTCACTCTGTGGTCTGACTCATCCCAAACCATCTCAATTTGGTTGAGGTCAGGGGATTGTGGAGGCCTGGTCATCTGATGCAGCACACCATCACTCTAAAACTTTTGACCGGTAGTGTATATAATTACTATGAGAAAATGACTTTCTACTTTAGTCTATTCTGTAGATTGTAACTAAGCTACCTAGCTAGCCTAGTTGGTAACATTTGCTAGCTAGCTTTCTAGCTAGTTCTTGGTATTCTGCTGGACGATTTAGGTAGCTAGTTTTCCAGCTAACTAGCCTAGCTAATTACCTATACTAAATCGTCCAGCACAATTTCTGTATCCAAAAAGCTAAACAAACATGGAAAACCTACCTTCCCTCTCCTGTGTGGATGTTTTTATCTCGTTTACAATACTTTGTTTCGTTCGTGCCAATCTCTTATGTCTGGATTTTGCACACAATCTTCTTCTTAATCCAGGTTCTTTGCGCACAGTTATTACTATGGCGTCCGTGTCAACACAAATTGTGGGTACGTTCGAGGTCGTCGTTATTTCGAGCTCATTGCGCAGATGGGCAGATCATGACATAATGCCTTAATTCCTGGGATAAATAAATAAGTGCACAAATGCATCCTGTTCAAAAGTTTGAATGTTCTTCAACCGTGAAACCCTTGCAAGGTTACATGATGAAATAAGCTTTTGTCATATGACAATTTTAAGTGTATTTATAAACCATTATTCAACCAAGCTTAATTGACACTTGGCTAAACCCCTCCCCCCTTGGTTACAGTTGCAACCTCGGACAACATTTTCCCGGGAAGCCCAATTCACCACTCAAACCGCTTGCCAAATCCCTTCAGAATTATCTCAAACTGTGTTTTTAATACACAATGAAATTAAACACAGACTACCCCTTGCTAATCGGGAGACACTCGGGTATGTTGTGGTGGACTGTCATTACAATTGCTTCACGGGAACCTGGTAATATTATGTTTGTAGTGTGGCTAGCCACTGAATGGCTCTGAATTCACTGTCAGCAAGCAGTCAAAGCTACTAACCACTTTTGGAGCAAACAAGTGCTCTCAAATCGTATCCTGATGTCAACAACAGATGGGAGTTGTATTTACAACATGGGTAACTTCAAATCAAATCATGTTGAGAAAAAAAAAGGTGGCTAGCTGGCTAGCTAGCATTAGCAACGTTTGGTGGTCAATGAAACAGGTTGAGAGCTTCAAGTTCCTTAGTGTCCACATCACCAACAAACTATCATGGTCCAAACACACAAAGACAGTCGTGAAGAGGGCACGACAAAGCCTATTCCCCCTCAGGAGACTGAAAAGATTTGGCATGGGTCCTCAGATCCTCAAAAAGTTCTACACCTTCACCATCGAGAGCATCCTGACTGGTTGCATCACCACCTGGTATGGCAACTGCTCGGCCTCCGACCGCAAGACACTACAGAGGGTAGTGCGTACAGCCCAGTACATCACTGGGGCCAAGCTTCCTGCCATCCAGGAACTCTATACCAGGCGGTGTCAGAGAAAGGCCCTCAAAATTGTCAAAGACTCCAGCCACCCTTGTCATAGACTGTTCTCTCTGCTACCGCACGGCAAGCGGTACCGGAGCGCCAAGTCTTGGTCCAAAAGGCTTCTCAACAGCTTCTACCCCCAAGCCATAAGACTCCTGAACAGCTAATCATGGCTACCCGGACTATTTGTACCACCCCATCTTTTTACGCTGCTGCTACTCTGTTAATTATTTATGCATAGTCACTTTAACTCTACCCACATGTACATATTACCTCAACTACCTCAACTAGCCGGTGCCCCCGCACATTGACTCTGCACCGGTACCCCCCTGTATATAGCCTCCCTACTGTTATTTTATTTTACTTCTGCTCTTTTTTCTCAACACTTTTTTGTTGTTGTTGTTTTATTTTACTTTTTTATCATTAGAAATAAATGCATTGTTGGTTAAGGGCTGTAAGTAAGCATTTCACGGTAATGTCTACACCTGTTGTATTCGGCGCATGTGGCAAATACAATTTGATTTGATTTGAATGAGACTGAGAGCTAGCTGAGCTAGCAAACAATATAACAAAAGTATAATTTTGGATAAAAAGATACTTCATCAGCAGTCTCGGCATTTCAGGAATCACAGTAGCAAGTACCCCTGGTGAAAGGTAAAATGATTTAGCCATTTAAACACATTTTAAAAAATGAAAACTCTCAGTTTTTGCCATTGTGCTCATTGGCTTTTGAAATGTGAGCTTGTCTGAGGTGTTGGACTCGACGACAGTTGCTATCCATTGGAGCGCTGCGATTGCTATCAAAAATTCTGGGGCGGGGCTTAGTGAAGGGTCATTAGGCTTACATTTTGGCAAGCACTGAATGACTCTCACAATTTAAACCATAACTGTTTATTAATGTGTTAAATTTTTTTGATTGGTGGTTAATAAAGTAATTCACCCATTGCCAAGCCCCGTCCTCATTAGCTACTGTTGCTATTGTCACGATCGTCTAATGAGGGAGACCAAGGCGCAGCGTTGCGAGCGAACATATTTACTTTAATAGTTAAAGCACCACACTCAAAAATACAAAACAATAAACAACGAATGCGTGACGTCTATGGTCCAACACGAAACCACACGAACAAAATCCCACAACCCGAAAGAAAAACAGACAGATTAAATATGGCTCCCAATCAGAGACAAACAGCCGACAGCTGACACTCGTTTGCCTCTGATTGGGAGTCACACCGGCAAACATAGAAAATTGACAACCTAGAACACCCACCAGAGAAACAGAAAACATAGAATGAACACACCCTGGCTCAACATATTGAGTCCCCGAGCCAGGGTGTGACAGTACCCCCCCCTAAAGGCGCGGACTGCGACCGCGCCTAAATACGAGCAAAAACAGGGGAGGGCTGGGTGGGCATTCCTCGGCGGCGGCTCCGGCTCTGGGCTAGATCCCCACTTCCTCTCCAACTCCCCAAAGTACCCCTGGTCCTGTCTAGCCCCGCTGGCCGGAGCCGGACTGACGACACGCGCCCCTGGCCTGGTGCGTGGAACAGGAACGGACCGGACCGGGCTGACGATACACACCCCTGGCTTGGTGCGTGGAGCAGGAATGGACCGGAATGGGCTGGCGACGCGCACCACAGACTTGGTGCGGAGAGCAGGAACGAGCCGGACAGGGCTGACGACTCGCATCCCTGGCTTGGTGCGAGTAGCAGGAACGGGCTGGACCAGGCTGACGACTCGTACCCCTGGCTTGGTGCGAGTAGCAGGAACGGGCTGAACCAGGCTGACGACTCGCACCCCTGGCTTGGTGCGAGTAGCAGGAACGGGCTGAACCAGGCTGACGACTCGCACCCCTGGCTTGGTGCGAGTAGCAGGAACGGGTTGGACCAGGCTGGCGACTCACACCCCTGGCTTGGTGCGAGTGGCAGGAACAGGCTGGACCAGGCTGGCGACTCGCACCCCTGGCTTGGTGCGAGTGGCAGGAACAGGCTGGACCAGGCTGGCGACTCGCACCCCTGGTTTGGTGCGAGTGGCAGGAACAGGCCGGGTCGGGCTGGCGACGCACACCGTAGGCTTTGTGCGTGGAGCAGGGACAGGCCGGGCTGGGCTGGCGACGCACCCCGTAGGCTTTGTGCGTGGAGCAGGGACAGGCCGGGCTGGGCTGGCGACGCACACCGTAGGCTTTGTGCGTGGAGCAGGGACAGGCCGGGCTGGGCTGGCGACGCACACCGTAGGCTTTGTGCGTGGAGCAGGAACAGGCCGGGCTGGGCTGGCGACGCACACCGTAGGCTTTGTGCGTGGAGCAGGAACAGGCCGGGCTGGGCTGGCGACGCACACTGTAGGCTTTGTGCGTGGAGCAGGAACAGGCCGGGCTGGGCTGGCGACGCACACCGTAGGCTTTATGCGAGAAGCTTGGATGGGCCGGACTGGGCTGGCGACGCGCACCACAGACTCGGTGCGGAGCGCAGGAACGGGCCGGGCTGGGCTGTCGACGCACACCGTAGGTTTGGTGCGGGGAGCAGGAATAGACCGGACCGTACTGGGGACACACACCACTGGCTCTACACCGGGATCTGGAACGGGCCGGACCGGACTGGCAACACACGCCAGTACCTCTCGCCGTGCCTCTACACCTTCCATCCCCTCTTCTACCAGTGGCCCCCGTAACCTGGCGGCCTCCTCTGCAACCCCGCTGGACCGCTCCATAGCGGCCTCCTGCTGCCCCGACGTCGTGAGCCCCCCCCACTCCTCCCCGTGGACCAGGCCTCCAACATTCTCTCCCACCTCTCGCTCCTCTGTCTCCAACCCTCTTCACTCAGCTCCTCAATGGGCTTGACCCAGTCGAAGCTGCCACGGAGATCTATTTGCGATGGCTCCTGGACACGCTGCTTGGTCTGGTCTTGGTGGGATTTTCTGTCATGATCGTCTAATGAGGGAGACCAAGGCGCAGCGTTGCGAGCGAACATATTTACTTTAATAGTTAAAGCACCACACTCAAAAATACAAAACAATAAACAACGAATGCGTGACGTCTATGGTCCAACACGAAACCACACGAACAAAATCCCACAACCCGAAAGAAAAACAGACAGATTAAATATGGCTCCCAATCAGAGACAAACAGCCGACAGCTGACACTCGTTTGCCTCTGATTGGGAGTCACACCGGCAAACATAGAAAATTGACAACCCAGAACACCCACCAGAGAAACAGAAAACATAGAATGAACACACCCTGGCTCAACATATTGAGTCCCCGAGCCAGGGTGTGACAGCTATCCTAGTCAAATGCACCATTCAATTATTTAACAATTTAAAATATTGTTTTATGTAAACCCCCTGTTTTTGCCATAGCGCTCATAAGCTTCCATGCATTTCAAACGAGACCTGGGCCTGGGCATCAGACTCCAGTGCCCTTTATACTAGAGTTGTGTCAATGAGGTGGTTGGTTTTCAAATGGCTAACACTTATAAGGGGTTTGTGCAGGCTGAAAAATGTTGCGTTTGGATGCTATTGGAAAGTTGAAAATGTGTAACAAGCATGGTAACAAGCTTTTGTTGTTACACCTGTGTAATTACAGACTGCAATTACCACCAGATACATGTAGTTAGTAAAGTGTAACAATGAATTATTAAAATTAATTACAATACGTGTTACAGTGTAATTACGTATGTAATTACACTGTAATAAGGACCACTTAAAATGAAGTGTTACCCTATAAAGTGTTACCACGCTTCGGTTACACTTATAACTTTAATGAATAAGCCATTGAAATGCTTATACATGTTTTATAAATGTTCATAAATAGTTTATAAATTAAATGATATAGGCTATGTTATAAATGTTAATGAATGTAATGCTAATAAATGCTAATAAATCTTTACAAATAAATTATTTTTTCAGCCTTCATCCTGGTGATTGGTTGTGTTTTGCCTTCCAGGTGGAGTTTGTGATGTCACTGCTGGGGCTGGTGTGCCCCCCTCTCTTTGAGACCATTGCTGAGCTGGAGGAGTACCACCCTCGTATCGCCCTCAAGTGGCAGCTGGGCCGCATCTTTGCCCTGTTCCTCGGGAACCTCTACACCTTTCTGTTTGCCCTTTTTGATGAAGTCAACACAAAGGTACCAGACAGTATGTCAGTGTCATGTACCTGCAAATGCATATTTGTGGGTTTATTCAGCTGTATATATATATATATATATATGTGTGTGTGTGTGTGTGTGTGTGTGTGTGTGTGTGTGTGTGTGTGTGTGTGTGTGTGTGTGTGTGTGTGTGTGTGTGTGTGTGAAGGTGTGTTCAGTACATATTGTATGCATATATATTTTACTTACTCACCTGAACCTGTCTTTGTGTGTTCACATGTGTACAGTTGGAAAACGAGAAGTCTATTAGGAATGCCACTATCTGGGGTCTGAATGAGTACTATGCCAACTACAGCTCCTACCACAACACTACTGACATCCCTCCTCCAGACATCCACCCTGCTGATGTCATCAGAGGGCCGTGCTGGGAGACCGCCGTTGGCATAGTGAGGCTTACATGCGTTCTTCCTCCGTTTTCCCTTTATCACCGTCTTTTATGTAGTTTTTCATCCTGGTTTTTCCTCCACCTGACCTGAGCAGAAAAAAGTTCCCTTCATTGTGCACCAGTGATACGACTGAAGCTGTCTGTGACATGCTGCGTGTTTCATGTTTCGTTTCCTTTCTGTGCTGTATCTCTAGGAGTTTGTGAAGCTCACCGTCTCTGACATCCAGGTGACATATATGACCATCCTGATTGGTGACTTCCTGCGAGCCATGATCGTGCGTTTCCTCAACTACTGCTGGTGCTGGGACCTGGAGGCTGGATTTGTATGTGCTAGGCTATCAAAGCAGAACTCAGACATTCTACTGTGTGTGTGTGTGTGTTCCCATTTTATTGTAATCATTTTTGGTAGCATTACATTTTTTACATTTGAGTCATTGAGCAGATACTCTTAATTAGGGTTAAGTGCCTTGCTCAAGGGCATATCGACAGATTTTTCACAAGTCTGCCTGGGGATTCAAACCAGCTAGGCTACCTGCCGCCTTTTACATTACAGTATGGGAGTGGTAATAACGTGGTAATAGTATGGTAACAAGGTACAGTTACTCACTATCAATAAAAAATTATTCACAGTTACCCCTTCATTTTTGTGTAAATACATATGTAAATAGTCAATACTAGTGTTTTTCTTTGCTTATTGTAAGTGTGAGTACATTATGTGTTTGTTCCAAGTAAACTTGATACCACATAGTTTTAATTTCGGCAACACTAACTATGACAGAAAATATTTGTCAACAACCAATTTTTCCTTATGAAAACTATTGACGATAACGAGACAAGATGCCCTGAAAAAAAAAGAGAACTATTACAAATGACTTTTCATTTTAGTTGACGACAATGTAACGAGACGAGACTTCCATGTGAGACTAATGGACATTCAATTGCACATGAAGCTCCTTTTGATCTGTTTTGTCCAATCATAACCATGTCTTTGCCGAATATAATGCAATCCTCTCATTGGTCTTTCAGTTGCGCGGGCTGCATGAGCTGATCTGCCTGGCCCTCCTCCACACACAAAGCTACCAGGCAGTCACTTCAGTCATTCATCTCACCTTTGAACAGATGCAGATTGTAACTAACCTCAACTAGAAAAAATGATGTTTACTCTTTCTTACTTTCATATAGGCTATTTTTGCTTTGATCACATCAGAAGCTCAATTACTATGTGCGCTTTTATTAATCTCTCGGCAAATGAGAATGCGGTTGCTTTTTCACTATTGGAAATGCTAATGTTATTTGCTGAATATTAGGAGTACAGTAATAATTCTGACATTGTTGGAAAGCTTAGATTCCCCATTTTAAGGGAATCACAAGGTTCTGATGGAGAGAAATTCCGAGCTGTAGGCCTAAATTGTTTAACCTGTAGAAAAGGCTTTGTAGCCCATACAGTATGGTAAATCATGGCTGGCATTGGTTAAAATCTGCCACAATAGCAATGTTGCCAGCTATATGAGGGGATAGTAGGCCTAGTTGGAAAAGGCTATGTGCATGTGATGGATATTAGAGGTAAACATGAATTATTTAATGGAAAAAAATTCATAGAGTAAAATGTAACTAAAATGACTGTGACTAAAACTGGACTTAAATTGTCCAGAGTTTTAGTCGACTGATAAAACTACGAAGCATTTAAGGACTAAAATGGGACTAAGAATAAAAGGTATGGGCCCCGTGGAGCTCAGTTGGTAGAGCATGGCGCTTGCAACGCCAGGGTTGTGGGTTCGATTCCCATGGGGGGCCTGTCATTTTTTTTTTTTAAATGATGTATGCACTCATGTAAATCGCTCTGGATAAGAGCGTCTGCTAAATGACTAAAATGTAAATGTAAATGTATTTTAGTCAAAAGACTAAGACTAAAACTAAAATAGCTGACAAAATGAACACTGATACCACACAGTGACATCCGGCAAGATAGGTGATCCTTCACATAGTGTTAAGTTAATTACTATGGGAGTGAAAGAGGGAGAGAGAATAGAATGAAGTTTGCATTATTTATCATGATTTGCAATATTTTTTGTACGTGATTCTAGCCATCTTATGGAGAATTTGACATCAGCGGCAACGTGCTTGGATTAATCTTCAATCAAGGAATGATTTGGTGAGTAAATATGAGACACCACATAAACCATCAACACATTTCCACACACCCAGTAAGTTGTGTTTATCTGCGATAAGAGCCATTTCTGTATTTGTGTTTGTTCCAGGATGGGTGCGTTCTATGCCCCTGGCCTGGTAGGGTTGAATGTCTTGCGTCTCCTCACCTCCATGTACTACCAGTGCTGGGCCGTGATGAGCTGTAACGTTCCCCATGAGAGGGTCTTCAAGGCCTCCAAATCCAACAACTTCTACATGGGCCTCCTCCTCCTGGTGCTCTTCCTCAGCCTTCTGCCAGTGGTTTACACCATAATGACTCTGCCGCCCTCCTTCGACTGTGGCCCCTTCAGGTGTCTCTCATGCACACACATATACACACACACACACACACACACTAGGCACACATCTAATGCTGATCTCTTGTCTACCAGCGGAAGGGAGCAAATGTATAATGTCGTCATGGAGACTATAGAAAACGACCTACCATCATTCATTGGGAATATCTTCACCTACGCAACTAATCCTGGGCTGATCTTACCAGCAGTGCTGCTGATGGTGTATGCACACACACACACACACACACACACACACACACACACACACACACACACACACACACATACACATTACAGTAACACACGTGGTAAAATAAACACGCTCATCATAACACATGTCATGTTTAAAACGGGTTAAATAGACTTCTGTGATCCTATGGCAGGTTGGCCATCTACTACCTGAATGCGACCTCCAAAAACTATCAAAATGCCAACCTGGAACTGAAGAAGAAGATGCAAATGGTAAATGAGCATTATCAACTAAACTGCAGTCTCTCAAGACTTCAATTCTTTACTGTAAACAATGTAATGCTACTAAGTACTTGTTGGTCAATGCATTCACATAATGCTGATGTGGTGACCGCAGCAACACCAACAGTATTATCTGCGTTGTGTTTAGGCTAGAGATGAGGAGAAGAACCGGAGGAACAACAAGGAGAGCACCAACCAGGTGATGCAGGACCTGGAGGACCTCCTGCCCAACCGTTCTCTGATCACCCCTGCTGCTGCGGAGAAGCCCCCACCAGGTCAGTTCACACAGCCTACTCTACCTAACTAACTACCTATCTACCTACCTACGGTCTCCACTCAGTGCCACCTAGTGGCTGGATGTTTTTTGAGCGTTCACAAAAAACTGTGAACCCACTTAATGAACATAACTTAAGAAACAGTTTGTTTTGAGTGAATTGTATCATAATATCACCCCTCAGTAGAGCTACATGCATATAGCTGTGCACATCCACTCCGTTTTTCAGACAACGTGCGCGAGAAGGGAAGCAAATCTCCCAAGGTGGCAAAACGTCCAGGAGCAGCAGCCAATGGCAAGGGGGTTAACCTTCAGAAGGATGTTTCATTGGCTGCACCAAACCCCAAAGCGGCTGTGACCCATCCCCCAGGCCCAAGGGGGCCGCCTGGAAACGCCAGAGGACCACCCCCAGGGCTGGCGAGGGGCAGAGGGAGGGGCGCACCTCCCCCTAGATGCTAATCAGGTGAAAACCAGGGTGCCAGGATGTCCACACCACCCTCACAAATCAGGCTGTAGACAAGCAGGGGAAGAGCATGGTTGTGTTCATTAGGTACCAAACGGAAGAAAACAGACTGAAACTCCAATAAGAAAAGTTCCTTGTTTTCCATTGCAAAAAGTTTTGTCCTAATGAACATGACCCTAGGAATCTGGCCAAAGATCTAAAGCCTGTAGGTAGTATTTGTAACACCCTCACAATCATGACATAACAGCATCCTAAATCCTATTTATAAACAAACATGATCAGATTTTCTGTGACCAATTTAGGGAATGTTTATTTATGCTATGCAGTGTCTCAGCAGAGATCTAAACTTCTACTCATTTCAGTCTGAAATCATATGTTAATAGTTTGTAAGATATCCATTTGTAGTACTTTTTTGTGTGCTAGCGCTTTACATTCACGCTCGGTAATAACAGGGTAATAACATGGTAATAACCATGTTTTAACTACAGTAGTAGTTACGAATGTAGTTTCCCCCCAATCCTTTCCTGTCATCCCAATTAGCCCATGGTTTGTTAATAGGAAGATGGTCGTTTCTATGTAATAACGGCTAATCAGTGCTGGAAAATGCAACATTACCTGTTTGTCTTTAGTTCTGTACTGTTATATGCATTCCCCATAAAAGTGTAATGTGTATTTAGTGTAAAGTGTCTTGAAGTGTTCAAGTGACAAACAAAGCCCAGTTCATAATCAGAGGTTTCTTTATTGATAAAAAATATATGCACAAGATATGACAAGTGACATTCGGTGACATGCTGTAACTTAACTAAAAGGAAAAAGACTGCTAAAAAATGAGTTATTGAGTTTTTGGTTGGCCGGCAATTTGGTGCCACTTTACACTGAATAAGGCCACATGATACGTTTATGTGGAATGGATATAATAGTAGAACTAAAGAGAAACGGGTAATGTTGAATTTTCCAGCACTGATTCTGCGTTATTACATAGAATCTACCATCTCTGTTTCCAGGTACAAAGCCATGGGCTAGTTGGAATGTTAGGAAAGGTTTGGGTACCCTGTTATTAGGCTGTTTTCACCAAACTGGAATGTAAAGTGCTACCTTTTTGGTATTACAACTAATAAAATACAAGAGTTACAAAATATGTCTACGAATATCTATGTCAGCTATATCAGGTCTTATATGCTTACTTATGGGAGATTTACAGAAGCAAACACACACACATTTACAGAAATACACAGTCACCATCCATTGACAATAACAAAGACTAGAGGACAGTATATACTATAAACCATTAAATTAAGATTCCAATGGATCTCAAACTACTGGACTGTTCAAATTGATCACATACAGTGTACTAATCATAGATTATACCAAAAACATTGTCTTTCATTCTAATTGGACCACAATAACCAGTGGGATGCAGTTTATATGATAAATCAATGATTCCAATTGATGATAAAGTTAACCGATTCTGCATGCAAACTTGTTTCGGATTAAGTGCTGTCCCGTCTAATGATGATGATAATTTTGGGCGACCTTGAGCACCCTGAGGGCTGTTTTTTAGACAGAAAGTTACACCCTGTTTTGTTTAAACGCATACAATAGTCTGTGGGTCATTGCTGAGAATTCCCAGTTGGTCCATAGAGAATTTCGGTGGAAGTCCTACTGAAAGACTTGTGTGGTACCGTACAGCAAGTCTTAGGAGTTCTTCTGTGAGATTTTGATAGTTACAGCCTTGACCTCTGTGTACTCCTGGAGGCCATACTCCCCTCTGAAACCCAGACACATGGTACAAACAATAATGAAACTCAGATAAACTAAATGAATAAATTAATTTAGGTCTTATTCTAGAAGTCTGGAAATCTGGAATCACTCACAGTTCCCTCCCATTCCCGGACATCTTAAACCCTCCGAAGGGACATTGGGTACTCATGGCATTGTAGCAGTTCACCCTATGATAAAGAGGAAATCAAAGGCCCAGTTCAAATACCTTTGAAATACAAATTCATTTGAAACATTCCTTCAACAATGTGCGTTATAAGGATGTGATTATTGAACTAGATTTTTGTAAACTGAATAATCCATAAATAGTCACTTCCTCATAACCCACAGTGTTGAAGAGGTGTTTCATATGAAATCACGCTGCCAGATTATAATGAGATTTACAGTATTTGCACAGATCTGTGCTCTTTTGCCAGATAAAAATGTTGCCCGAACTGGTAAAATGCTTTTGGAGGTGTCCATACATACCACACCATGCCGGCCTGTAAAGCTGAGGACACAGTGAGGGCTTTGTCGATGTCATTGGTGAAAACTCCAGCAGCCAGGCCGTAATGGGTGGCGTTGGCCCTCTGAATTACCTCATTCACACTGCGGAAACGCATGATCTGCTGCACCGGTCCAAAGATCTGAGCGAGAGAGAAGAGAGAGAGAGAGAGAAGAGAGAGAGAAGAGAAAGAGAGAGAGAGAGAGAGAGAGAGAGAGAAAGGAGGGGGGAGAGAAAGAGAGTGAGATAGATAATTTGTGCTTTCTCATGTGTGTGTGTGAGAGAAAGAGTATGTTGTGTCTGTGTGTTTGTGTTTACCTCTTCTTTGGCAATACGCATGTCGTCAGTGACATTAGAGAAGACAGTGGGTTGGATGAAGAGGCTCTTCCGGTCCCAGGGGGCCCCCCCACACTCCAGTGTGGCCCCCTCCCTCTTCCCACTCTCAATTAGCTCCAGGATCTTATCAAACTGCTTCTGATCTATCTGCACCAACAAGGAGAACATCCAACAATCATCACCACATGAACTTTGACTGTCATTGTAAAAGTGTTCATATGAAAGCTTCAGATCTTGCGACTTTGATATTAAAACTCACTCGACTGTCTTGAAATGTTCGATGATATTCAAATTTGCAGATGTACTTGCTGCCACACGGCACATCTTCATCATCAAGGCGAAGGTGTCAGGAAAACTAATGTTTCAGGTCCCGCAGCTGTACTACTATTGTTATCCATTTGGGGATAATAGTGTGTTCTACCTTACCTGTGGTCCCTGGTCCACTCCTGGTACCAGTGGGTTTCCCAGGACCTTGTTACGGGCCTTCTCCGCGCTACGAAAAACAAACTCCTCATAGATAGAGTCCTCCACAAACACCCTGGAGCCAGCCAGGCAGCACTGGCCCTGGTTGAAGAAGAGACCACTGTGGGCCTGCTCCACCGCATACTCCACTACAACACACATATACACACATGTTAATGAACACTTGCCTGTATACACAGACACAAACTCAACACACCCCAAAAACGTATAAACACAACACACAGACAGACGAGCATACGTACGTACGCATGCATGCACACACAAACACACACACACACACACTCACAGTCACAGTCTGCGAAGACAATATTGGGGTTCTTGCCGCCCAGCTCCAGAGTAACACGTTTCAGGTTGCTGTCACCAGCAGCCTTCTGGATGAGTTTCCCTACCTGGAAACCACCACAGGGAAAAAAGCTAAATCAGTAAACAGTTACAACTGAACTATTACCAAAACCCCATCTAATCTGGCAACCATTCGCACCAAATGGGGAGGGCACTGGGCTGGGGGTTTAGTAGACGGCAGATTACCTCAGAAATGGTCTAATAGGAAGGAGATTGTGAACTAAGGGTTGGGTGAACAGAGAAATGTGTCACTATTGAAAGTCAATGGGTCATTCTCTGAATACATACAGCAGTTGATCCAGTAAATGCTATTTTGTCAATGTCCATATGATGAGCAATGGCACTGCCTGCTGTTGGACCGTATCCTGGCAGCACGTTCACCACGCCTGGAGGAAAACCAGCCTGGACACACACACACACACAGAATGAAAGAGACCAACATGATCTTATTAACTCAGGTCTATATTTTCAAATGTCTGATTTTGGAATCATTAATTATGGACATACAGTTGAAGTCGGAAGTTTACATACACTTAGGTTGGAGTCATTAAAACTAGTTTTCCAACCACTCCACACATTTCTTGTTAACAAACTATAGTTTTGGCAAGTCGGTTAGGACATCTACTTTGTGCATGACACAAGTCATTCTTCCAACAATTGTTTACAGACAGATTATTTCACTTATAATTCACTGTATCACAATTCCAGTGGGTCAGACGTTTACATACACTAAGTTGACTGTGCCTTTAAACAGCTTGAAAAATTCCAGAAAATGATGTCATGGCTTTAGAAGCTTCTGATAGGCTAATTGACATCATTTGAGTGGTGTACCTGTGGATGTATTTCAAGGCCTGGTGCACTTCACAAAATAGATGGCATCATGAGGAAGGAAAATTATGTGGATATATTGAAGCAACATCTCAAGACATCAGTCAGGAAGTTAAACAAAGTCAAGGTATTGGAGTGGCCATCACAAAGCCCTGACCTCAGACCTATAGAAAATGTGTGGACAGAACTGAAAATGCGTGTGCGAGCAAGGAGGCCTACAAACCTGACTCAGTTACACCAGCTCTGTCAGGAGGAATGGGTCAAAATTCACCCAACTTATTGTGGGAAGCTTGTGGAAGGCTACCCGAAACGTTTGACCCAAGTTAAACAATTTAAAGGCAATGCTACCAAATACTAATTGAGTGTATGCAAACTTCTGACCCACTGGGAATGTGATGAAAGAAATAAAAGCTGAAATAAATCATTCTCTCTACTATTATTCTGACATTTCACATTCTTAAAATAAAGTGGTGATCCTAACTGACCTAAGACAGGGAATTTTTACTACGATTAAATGTCAGGAATTGTGAAAAACTGAGTTTAAATGTGTTTGGCTAAACTGTATGTAAACTTCCGACTTCAACTGTACCTCAACAAAATGATTCCATTAGCTAGTTCTACCAGCTCTCACAGTCTCACGTCAGAATTAGACCTTCATCCATGTCTCTCAAACGTCAAATGAAGGTCTACCAAATGTCACATTTCAAAGTGTTTAAGGTTAAGTTTAGGCATTATCTTTAAGGTTAGGGTTAAGTTCAGGCATTAACTCAAAATTCTTACGGTTAGGCATTAAATCAGAATGGTTAAGGTAAGGTTTAAGGTTTGGGATAGGCTTAAAACAAAAAGATCAAAAACAACTTTCTATCACTTGATTGAAACTTGCAACCTTTGGAATCAGAGGCAGATGCTTATGTTCCATCCGCCATCCCCGTCCACAACGCCGAAACCAACTTGAAGATAACAACGCTCACTGTTGCCCCCTAGTGGCCGGTTTCCACGTAATCTCCCGACGTCCTCATATATGGATGGACGTCGAATACTGACTTGCATAACGGGTGACCTGGCAGAGCTAGTCAAGGCAATGACTACAATGACCGCAGGAGCCTCTAGGTTTAGGGTTAGGCATAACTTCAAGGGGTTCACATAAGAGTAAAGAGCAGGTCCAGATTAAAACAGAAAAAACACACTTCATCCTTGAGGTTGAGGGTGAGTAATAGTTGTTGAGTTAAGCTAAACGTATCTTGACGGTACGGCTAATGTGCTGTGAGAATACCTCTAAAGTATTAGAGATGTATGCGCATGTTTGCATGTGAGTAATCTACCTCTTTGATAAGGTAGGCCATGTGCAGGGCTGTTAGGGGTGTCTGTTCGGCTGGTTTGATGATTACAGTGTTTCCACAGCACAGAGCTGGAGCGATCTTCCAGGCAAACATCATCACAGGGAAATTCCACTGCATTCAGAGGTGCAAAGGTACGGGTTATACAAGAGCTGAGGACACGCACACACACACACACACACACACACAAATGCACGCGCACACACACACACACACACACCCACACACACACAAATGGGATTTACTTACTGGAATGATTTGTCCACACACCCCAATGGGCTCGTGTCGTGTGTAGGTAAAATACTCTCCATCTGCAGACAATGACATGTAAAGGAATTTTGGCAATAAGTCTGCTGTTCTATCATTTGAAAGAATTTCATCATAGGTATGTAAATACAATAATTGATACTTCAATCAGGTGGATATGATCTCATATTTGTGAGATGGTCAAATTAAAGTGTTTGCGGATGAACTCACCCACAGGAATGGTTTTGCCTTGTATCTTGTCAGCCCATCCTCCATAATAACGCAGGGTTTTAATAGTGGCCATCAGATCCACAAAGTACGCCATGAGGAAGATCTTTCCTGAGTCAAGAGCCTCCAACGTCTGAGTACATATACATTAAACAGACTTATGAAGAACTCCTCAACAACATCTAGCAAATGCATAACAAATATCGAGCCCAGATATGGGACATGTGGGACATATGGCTGTTGAGCACTTGCAGTGTTAGACTGTGTGTGTGTGTGTGTGTGTGTGTGTGTGTGTGTGTGTGTGTATTCCTCACAGCTAGCCGGAGGCGGTCCCTCTCCACCAGGTCAGCCAGCCTGTTGAGCAGCAGCCCTCTGTCGGACGCGTCCATGCATCGCCATGGAGACCCCAGTTGGAAGGCTGCCCTCGCACTCCGGACCGCCTTGTCCACATCCTCCTGGGTATGAAAGGATAGTTAGACATGCACATGCACACAGACAGGCAGACATACGAAAGTCAAACAGGCACGCAAACAGATACAGACGCACGAACACTTTCTCTCTCTCTTTCTCAACCTTACTCAGACAAAGAACCACACAAAAATTGATTGATTGATTGTTTTTTTTGACTAGTTGACAATGTCACTCACGGTGTCTGCCTCCTCTACCTCACACAGCAGGTCTCCAGTGGCAGGGTTGTGAACTGGCATCTTCCGTCCGCTGCAGGACTCATGCCACTCGTTATCAATGAATATCTGATCTCCCCAAATCACATAAACACACAACAGCAAGACAGATGACCTTAGTAAAAACCTCACTAATGAATATGCCATGAACACAGACCCAACAAACCCCAGGCTGGTGCTATACACTGAGTGTACAAAACATTAAGGACACCTTCCTAATATTGAGTTGCACCCCCCTTTGCCCTGAGAACAGCCTCAATTCGTCAGGGCATGGACTCTACAACGTGTCGAAAGCATTCCACAGGGATGCAGGCCCATGTTGACTCCCATGCTTCACACAGTTGTGTGAAGTTGGCTGGATGTCCTTTGGGTGGTGGACCATTCTTGATACACACGGGAAACTGTTGAGCGTGAAAAACCCAGCACCGTTGCAGTTCTTGACACAAACCGGTGCCCCTAACACTAATTACCATACCCTGTTTAACGGCACTTAAATCTTTTGTCTTGCCCATTCACCCTCTGAATGGCACACATACACAATACATGTCTCAATTGTCTCAAGGCTTAAGAATCCTTCTTTAACCCGTCTCCTCCCCTTCATATACACTGATTGAAGTGGATTTAACAAGTGACATCCATAAGTGATCATAGCTTTCACCTGGATTCACCTGGTCAGTCTATGTCATGGAAAGAGCAGGTGTTCTTAATGTTTTGTACACTCAGTGTACACTACACACAAACACTCATGTGTCAATTAACTCCTAACCTGCTCCTAGATCTGTTTGTGCTGTCTTGCCAACTATGGGAATTGACATGCCAAACATGACAAAACAGCGACCATGGGAGTTGGCTATATAGCGAAAACAGATCTGGGACCAGGCTAATGAACACGCTCCCTCCTGTCATCCACGACCACGGGCCTCTGGCAGAGAGCATAGTTTTCCATTTCAGGGAACAGACTCCATAACAATGAGTTAGATTTTTATCCTCAGTAGAGCATGTTTTATAGTTTTGTCCAGACCAGATCTGTGTTTATTGCAAAAGAAAGATTAACCTTTGATTAAATCCTTTCACTTGATTAGATGCATCTGAGTGTTGTTAAGTAAGTCAATATATTAAAATAATAAATAAATCGAGGTAACTCTACTGTAATAAACTTTCTGATAAGGACACAGTAAACAGTTTACTGACTTCCTCTGCTCCTGGGAACCATCTTGTCAAAGGGATGTAAATACCACACTCATTCTACTACATCTCCAATAGACACACACACACGCACACGCACACGCACACGCACACGCACGCACGCACACACACACACACACACACACACACACACACACACACACACACACACACACACACACACACACACACACACACACACACACACACAAACACACAAATATAAAGTATTCATGAAGAACTATTAATGAAATATGCCATTATAAATAAAATGCATCAGAACATGTAAACGTTTAGACAAAATGTTGTAGCTGAAGATTTAGAGAGGGGACATCTGGAAAAAGATTGGACTGCGCAACATACCGTGTGATATTCACTATAGCATTAATCAGTGGCGGTTCTTTATAACAGAGACTACCATTTACACATCAAAAGCCTTTTCACCAGCAAATATACTACAAAACACTCCTAAATCTAAGAATGCATAGATGATTTTAGCAGCAAAGTAGTCCACAAAATGCAACCTTTAAAACAAAAAGCTAAAGAGAATACATAGCCTACACAAACATAATTACATACTACATTAGCTATAAAGATTGTTCCAGCTGACCTTAGTGTACTGGACCTCCAGGTCAGGGACAGGCATGGGCATGGTCTGTTTGGCTGGCCCGGCGTCTCCATGGTCCGGATCATGGTCCTGGTGGTTCTGGCAGTTTCCTGGCTCGGAGCTCATGTTGCACTGTTTTCCCACTGGGACAGCAAAAGGTGAAATTGTATGACACTGGGTTGAACACATGCCCCTCTCTCATCCCACCTACCGTCTCCTGCCCCTTCCTCTCATTGGGAGGCACTGATTGGACAATAGGCAAACCTGTGGAAGGGGGTGATTTGCATAGTTCAACCTGATTGGAGGGATGGTAAGAACTTTACAGTCACAGGTTCTATCAAAGAGACGTGGTTGGTGGACATTTAAGTAAATCAAACCGACCAATCAAGTTTTCAAAACTACAAAAAGAGAAAGGCAACACGTGAAAGTAAAAACAACAGTACACAGTAAAATGGACTAAAAGCAATACAAGCAATGTGTGTGACCATGCGAGCGTGCGCATAGTACTCGCAAAAGCAAGTGTGGAAAAGTTGTCATCCCTATAGAATTGTCATCCCTACAGAATATACCATATGAAAATGGTGCCAAATGAGATATTGGCATCTGCTACTGCCTCACACTGAGGGGTCAGAGGTCGCGACTGGCACCATAAAGTCGGGGCTGGCGGTGCTGGCTGCAGAGCCCTGATCTCATCTCATTAGGCTACAGAGGGAACCTGAGGACAGCAGGGTCATGTTCATTAGGCACTAAATTAAAATAAACAGAGTGAGACAGAGAGAGGAACTGGGTTACCAGTTCCTGGTCACCTTTGCAGAGAGGAACTACCTGGACAAAACGCTGATTTTTGTTTTCGTTGCAAAATGTTTTGGAAATGTTTTCAGTCCATTTTGTCAACCATCATTATCATATCTCCTGGGTCGTGTTCTTTTGGCATCACATGTGCTGAACAGGGAGGGACTACCTGTTGTGTATCCTAATGAACACGACACTGTTTAGTTATTGGAAAGAAATGACAAATGTATATTGTTGGACAGTAGTTGGGAAATATGTTGATAGAGCAAAAAGTTAACCACGATAAAATTTGACTATTTTAGTGACCAAGGATTTCATTGCTAGTGATGTGTGTAACATTTTCAATTCAACCATTAGTTAAAATTGTGTCTTAAAAAAGTTTCCTTGGAATAAATACTTAAATAAACGTCGCTCTCAAACAATGCGTCATATTGACATTGTGTTTGCATGAACATTATACTGATTCTAACTGATTCTAATAGTGCTGCATTTTGAAGCACTACTTGAGAAAGACACAGAATTCAAAATGTATTAGCCTATTATATTTAATAGATCATATTTCACAACATCCTTTTTGATAATCGGCTGACATTCATATAAAATCAAAGTCACCTATACAAAAAATGGGTACATTTTCATGTACTCCTGAAGAATAAAGTTAGTTATTTTACTGTCTTCACTTGATGTGAAAAGTATTTCTAGTTTAATTTTTTTATGAAATCCAAATTGTTTCTAAATCCAAACTTTATACCAAACATAATTACAGTATGTGAAGAAAAACAGGTTATTTACACAAGAATAATGTACATTTATTATAACTTCATTAACCTTGACTTGTGACGTATGGACCTTAGTTTGGCTGTCTTACCTGTGCATGCAGATGGCGCACCTGCAGATTGAACGTTCTCAACTCCAATCACCGGCATGTCTTCAACTCTCCTCACTGCAGCCCTAAATTTCAGAAAGGCAAAAGTACCCAATGCAGACCCACCGCCCCTCTTATATAGTTGCACTCACTGATTAAAAAAAAAAGCCCCACTTCTTACTGGGACCAACAGAGAACCACATAGCTGTCGCACCCACCAGGGACCCACGCCTTTGGGCCCATACGCTAATCACTGTTCAAACAGAACCAATCCCTATTTTCCACTTTACGCACCACGATTGTTCTACACTGGCCGCGAGGCAAGCACGCATAGCGCTCAGCTTCCATGACTGTGAAACGCAGCATGTCATTTTTGATATGAGGGCCACCTCTTGTCTTTCCCGGTCACCTTTGCATTGGTCCAATCCACTTATCTCTGCCGAAAGGGAAATTTAAAAAAGGGACTAGTTTTACACCACTTTGGGTTATTGCACGCCCGATTTGGAGGCAGGTAAATGTAATAATTGGGAAGATTTTAGCTTTGATAAGGGCCCCCTGCTGGCCCGCTGTCTCCCAGGAACAATACCATCGCATAACTGTGTCTGGTGCGCCTCTATTTTGGTGTAGCCCGTCTGGAAAGACGCAAAGTCCTTTGAAAATTACCCCTGGGCTTAGACAACATAACCTTCGTAATTAACCCTCGTTAAATAATGAAAAGCACCGCAGAGCTGCATTTTGGAGTGTTGTAATGTGCCTTGAAAAAGAGGCATACGCTGATGTATTTTTTCTCCTTATCTCAAACTCAGCACACATTTTGGACTCACATTTAGTAGGCTGATTCTTTGAGCCAATTGCAGTGGAGATGAGGATGATGATGAGGATGATATCCTTGACAATGAAATTAGGCTAGATGGTGTCCAGTAAAACTGAACATCTGTATGCCAGAAAGAAGCAACAAGAGCCCATCAGTGCTAATTGCAACTAATGACCGCATCCCAACCCAATACACATTTATACAGCTCTATGTGTGTGACGCGTGCGTGCATGTGTGTGTGAATATGTGTGTATCTATATTTGCTGTGTGTTGTAATGTATGTGTTTGTGCGTGTGTGTGCATGTGTGCGTGTGTGCCTGTGTGTATAGTAGGGTCCTGGTAGGTTCCTTGGTGGTGTCTCCAGTGAGTCTAGTCTGTGTTGGTTGTCGCCATGGCTCCGTGACACGTGTTGCCCCAGTGGCTGTGCTAATGACGGAGGGAGGAGGAGTGGCGGCACTGCCGGACCACTCAGCCTGGACTGGGACTGGGCCTAGGTGGGTCAAAGGAGGCGTCGCAGCCTGACAGCACCGGGTGTCCCACAATTGAGCCTGAGTGGAACCGACGACCCATTGGAGAGAGGAAGAGAGGGATATGAAGGGATATGGAGAGAGAGGATTTGCACATAGGCCACAAACAGAGAGAAAGCAGGGCATACAAATAGAGTAAACATTCAGTATAGAGACAAAATGCTGAGTCTGGATTGAAGGCGGCCTGCTTTCAATGTTGATAGTCTTCCTCTTGCATGATCTTGTGTAGACTGGCTTCCTTGTATGTTATTCTATATGTGTGTCTAAGGTATTTCCATAAACAGTTCATTCAAGGTCAACACATTATATTCCAACTCCAAGGATCCCGAGACTTACCAGAAGAACATACAGATGGAGGATCTTAACTTGATCACCCTGTTGTTACAGGAAATGTCCTGCACAGCTGGACATGCAAACTTAGTGTATTCAAGGTATAAAAAGGCTACTAAAGTTAGTAATTTACACAAACATTTCATACTTGATTTGCCCTAACAAAAAATGTATCACCCCCTACAAAAATATCCATTAATTATAATCCACACAATAATTCACATTTCCTGTTGCTGCAGGATTATTTTCCTGCTGTGAGAAACTGGTCAAATTAAGATCCTACATCTGCACCTTATCTGAAAACAAATCGTTAATTTTCAATTACGAAATTCTCCAACATTTGTGCTGTTTCTATGCTGCAAGACTCAGTCCAGGGTCATATATTCTGCTGTCACTGAATCATTTGATCCCAGACCCACTCTTTAAATGGTAACCTTTGACATTTTAAACCATTTAGTCTTTCAACTTCTTGTTTAGGTTGGCAGTATACTGATATGCCAGCTAAGTGAAATTGTATATATCTGGTTTTTCTTCAGAAGGAGGAAACTACCATTTACAAGAGCAATGATAAACAGGTACAATAAACAGAACACGTAGCAAAGATATTTGTATTTGTATTTATTATGGATTCCCATTAGCTGCTGCCAAAGCAGAAGCTACTCTTCCTGGGGTCCAGCAAAATTAAGGCAGTTAAACATTACAATACATTCACAATAGATTTCACAACACATTAAATGTGTGCCCTCAGGCCACTACTCTACTACCACATACAGTACTAGTCAAAAGTTTGGACACACCTACTCATTCAAGAGTTTTTCTTTATTTTTACTATTTTTTACATTTTAGAATACTAGTGAAGAGCCAAAAACTATTGAAATAACACGAGTGTGCAAAGCTGTCATCACAACAAAGGGTGGCTATTTGAAGAATCTCAAATATAAAATATATTTTCATTTGTTTAACACTTTTTGGGTTACTACATGATTCCATATGTGTTATTTCATAGTTTTGATGTCTTCACTATTATTCTACAATTTAAAAAATAGTAAAAATAAAGAAAAACCCTTGAATGAGTAGGTGTGTCCAAACTTTTGACTGGTAGTGTATCTACAACACAAAATCCATGTGTACGTGTGTGTATAGTGCGTATGTTTTACTGCTTGCATTAGTTACTTGATGTGGAATAGAGTTCCATGTAGTCATGGCTCTATGTAGTACTGTGCACCTCCCATAGTCTGTTCTGGACTTGGGGACTGTGAAGAGACCTCTGGTGTCATGTCTTGTGGGGTATGCATGGGTGTCTGAGCTGTGTGCTAGTAATTCAAACAGACAGCTCGGTGCATTCAACATGTCAATACCTCTCACAAATACAAGAAGTAATGAAGTCAATCTCTCCTCCACTTTGAGACAGGAGAGACTGACATGCATATTATTAATGTTAGCTCTCTGTGTACATCTAAGGGCCAGCCTTGCTGCCCTGTTCTGAGCCAATTGCAATTTTCCTAAGTCCCTCTTTGTGGCACCTGACCACATGACTGAACAGTAGTCCAGGTGCGACAAAACTAGGGCCTGTAGGACCTGCCTTGTTGATAGTGCTGTTAAGAAGGTAGAACAGCGCTTTATTGTGGACAAACTTCTCCCCATCTTAGCTACTGTTGTATCAATATGTTTTGACCATGACAGTTTACAATCCAGGGGTACTCTAAGCAGTTTAGTCACCTCAACTTGCTCAGTTTGCACATTATTCGTTATAAGACTTAGTTGAGGTTTAGGGTTTAGTGAATGATTTGTCCCAAAT